CTCTCTCTCTCTATCTCTCTCTCTCTCTCTCTCTCTCTCTCTCTCTCTCTCTCTCTCTCTCTCTCTCTCTCTCTCTCTCTCTCTCTCTCTCTCTCTCTCTCTCTCTCTCGCGACTCCCTCTCGCGTCCCGCGTATCGCCTCTAGCTTATCGCCTCTCGCTCCTCGCCTCCCTTTTCGTTTCGTCAAGCAGAAGAAACGGTTGACCTAATTCATCCCACCCACACTGCTCGCGCTTCCAAGCTTCGATCTCTTAGTACTGCTCTAACGTGCGTCGGTTCGGCATCTCGCCAACGGCCGGCCTAGTCCTGTATCCTGCTCAGCAGGGCTTGCGTCGGTGCAGGAGAAGCGGAGCTGATCGTCTGATCATCAGACGCAGTGATGATCGCAGTGCGCTGTGAGCTCCTGGATGAGCCGACACTTAGTCAGCAGGCCTCTTTAATTAACTCATGTGAGATCCTTTCATCGCGCTCCATGGCTACACAGAACGTGTCCCGCGATGCGCTCTCCTCGATCATGGATGATGATGCGCTGCATGCAGATCATTCTGCAACCAGCTCATACGAAATTCGTTTGTGAGGTACAGTGTGGGAAGGGTGGAAATCCCTGAGAGGGGCTAAAACACAAGTTAAAAAATATTGAAGGGTGTGGAAGATTTTTCGGACTTCGACAAAGACCGTCATTGAAATACCTCGTTATAGCTCGATCCTCGTCAGTAGAACCTTCGTATAGCGGAGTCATTTTGAAAACTACCCGTAACGTAATTGTACCCGTTAAACTACACCTCTTTTTAAAATTAGCCCACCGTCTTATGGGGTCTGGCATGAGCACCACCGTGCCTGACCCAAAAATCCGTGAATTTCGTTTGTTAGCCACAAATACGTCACTGAAGTGAGGGCAAACCCTGGGGGAGGTAAATTTATTAGTACAAACAATTTGAAGGGCTCGAAAGATTTTTCGAATGTTCGACAAACATCGTCATTGAAATACCTCGTTATAGCTCAGTTCCCGTCATTCGAACCTTCGTATAACGGAGTCGTTTATAAGTTTATCCGTCACGTTATTGTACCCGTTAATTTACACCTTTCTCTAAAGAATAGCCCACAGTCATTATGGGGTCTGGCTATGATTCCGCAGCAAGCACCACCGGGCCTTTCCACGAATACGTGAATTTCGTTTGTAACCACAAATACGTCACTGAAGCGAGGGCAACCCTGGGAGAGGTATTTTTATTAGTACAAACAATTTGAGGGGTGTGGAAGAGTTTTCGGATGTTCGACAAACACCATCATTGAAATACCTCGTTATAGCTCAGTTCTCGTCAGTAGAACCTTCGTATAGCGGAGTCGTTTTGAAAACTACCCATCACGGTCTTGTACCCGTTAAATTACACATCATCTTAAATAATAGTCCACCGTCATATGGGGCCTGGCTATGATTGGGCAGCAAGCACCAGCGTGCCTGATCCACGAATCCGTGAAATTCTTTTGGTACCACAAATATGTCACGGTAGTGTGGGCAATCCCTGGGAGGGGTAAATTTATCAGTACAAACAATTTGAGGGTGATGAAGTTTTTCGGATGTTTGAAAAATACCATCATTGAAATACCTCGTTATAGCTCAGTTCTCGTCAGTAGAACCTTCGTATAGCGGAGTCGTTTCGAAAAATACCCGTCACATAACTGTACCCCTTAAATTACACATTACTTCAAAGAATAACCCACCGTCATTATGGGGGCTGTCTATGATTCCCACCGTTTCAGAATTTGAGAGGAAATTCTGAAACCGAGTCAAAGCTTGAATAAATACGCGATTCAGAGCGAGTCCAGCACGCAGTTACAGATTGGGGCTTGAGCTCCGCTACACTTGAATGTGTAATTCCAAGTTATGTGTCTCGAAAGCTTTTGCCACGTGGTCCAATCTTATCTTTCCTAGAGCAAACCTCCTCCACAAGCTGTGCGCCAACGTGGCCACAAAGAAGCGCCACTGGCAGAAAGCAATCCGCGCTTCCCATCCGCCTTCCCCCGAGTGCATGTCCCATCCCATTACATACATCCTTCTCTTCCAAGTCCCCCCTACGTCCCTAGTTCCCCTTCTCATGTGGTGAATTCCGCCCTCCGCGCAACAGTATTTCTTGATACCGACAATCACCGTCATAGCAGTCTAGGAAGTTTGAAACCAAGTTCTAGATTCCCCTCCGGGATCGTGTTATTTACTCGTCGTTTTCTCTTGACGACTACCTGTATTGTTCTGTTTGAGAACTTGGAAGCCTTTTCGTCAGAATGCTCTCTGCAGAGCTAGCCGTTAGCATTGGCTGCGTGGGAACAACTCCTTTCGCTCCATCCTCCTCTCACCACCGACCAAGCACCGCTCCTTCCGCCTCTGATTCCCTTTCCAGCTCCTTTTTTGCAAGCCAACCAACACGTTGCCTTGGAGCCGTCAAACCCCGATCGGTTAGACGATTAAGATTAACTACACCGGTCTACGCCAGACACCTGGAATCTCAGGTAGCCGCTGCAGCAGCTCCCATAGCGGGGGAAACGGCGGCAGTGACGGGGAATGCAGCGAGGGAGAGTGGTGGGTCAGCGGAGCGGGGATTGACTGTGGTGGATGTAGATTTGGGGGATCGGAGTTATCCGATCTACATTGGCGTGGGAATTCTGGACCGCGGAGATCTGTTGTGCAGGTACGATGATGGACGGTGGAGATTCTATTTGCGCGTATGGTTGATTGAACTGGACTTAAACCTTTCATTCATTCAACCACCCAGTGTGCTCGCGAATCGATGCTGTTACTTTTGTTCCTTTGTGTACTATTGTTCGTGGCACACCGTATCTGCTCTCTCTCTTCATCATTCCTTCCTTGTTACTTTCTCAATTCGTGTTTTCAGGCACGTCAAGGGCCGGCGTGTACTGGTGGTGACAAACGAAACCATCGCGCCGTTGTACCTGGAGCGGACTATTGCGGCGCTGACACATGGCAACCCGCAATTGGAGGTTCGCAGCGTCGTGCTACCGGACGGCGAGCAGTTTAAAGACTTGGTAGGTTGTTCCTGCCGCTTGCTGGTTGGTTGTTGTGGTTGAATCTCGGTTTTCCCCGTCTTTGTTCAGGATCGTGCCGTTCAGTGCCGTGCGGTTTAGGATTCTGTTCATCATTTTCTTCGTTCTTTATTTTGTTGATCCGCTTCCTGTTGCTTCGGCGCACAGGAAACCCTCAATCTGATCTTTGACCGAGCCCTCGAGACCCGCATGGACCGGCGCTGCACGTTCGTAGCTCTCGGGGGAGGCGTGATCGGCGATATGACTGGCTTCGCCGCTGCTTCGTACCTAAGAGGCGTCAATTTCATCCAGATTCCCACCACCGTCATGGCTCAGGTATGGCTCAGGTATGCTCGCGTCTTCCGTCCACCAGGTGTCGATCGTCTTCGTCCCTTCTTCGCTTCTATTTTCTACACCAAGTATCCGTCGACTGCCGTTCCCCCTCCCTCCATCCGTTCTTTCCCCTATTGTTCGTCTTGAACCCATCGACACTGTGGTGTCTTAGTAGTACTAGTAGACCCATTTTCGTTCTTCTACTGCCTTTCCTTTTTCCTGTCAATATCTCCAGGTGGACTCGTCGGTGGGCGGCAAGACAGGTGTCAACCACCGGTTGGGCAAGAACATGATAGGCGCGTTCTACCAGCCGCAGTGCGTGCTCATCGACACCGACACGCTCGCGTCGCTCCCCGACAGGGAGCTCGCGTCGGGGCTGGCGGAGGTGATTAAGTACGGGCTCATCCGCGACGCGGAGTTCTTTGTGTGGCAGGAACAAAACATGGACCGGCTATTGGCAAGGTGAGAAAGAGAGAGGGAAATTGTGTCCGAAATAGTTTCAGGGGCTCCGCAGGGAGGAGGTAGAAGAGATGCTGGAGTTGGGCCTGGCGGAGGAGATAGAGTACGGTCTCATCCGCGACGCGGAGTTCTTTGTGTGGCAGGAGGAGAACATGGACCGGCTGCTGGCGAGGTGAGAGAGAGAGTGGGGAATTGTGTCCGAGGTAGCTTCAGGGGCTCCGCAGGGAGGAGGTAGAAGAGATACTGGAGTTGGGCCTGTCGTGGAGGTGGTGATAGAGTACGGGCTCATTCGCGACGCGGAGTTCTTTGAGTGGCAGGAGGAGAACATGGACCGGCTCTTGGCGAGGTGAGAGAGAGGAAAAGAGCTCATGTCACTGGAGGAGTTTTCTCGGGGGGGAGGGGAGGCAAATAGGTTTGGACTCATCCCGCGACGCGGAGTTCTTTGAGTGGCAGGAGGAGGAGAACATGAACCAGCTGTTGGCAAGGTGAGAGAGAATGGAGACATAAGTGGCTCTTGTCCTGGTGAGAATCATGGACGGCATGGCTTTAGAGGCGCCTCGAAAAAAAAGAGGAGGGAGACATGGGCGGCCCTTGTCCTGGTGAGAAACATGGACGGCATGGAAGTGAGGGGGGAAGTGTGGTACTTATGACCGACTGTTGACAAAGGAGGTGGCAGGGTTGAAGGGAGGAAAAGAGAGGAGTGTTACGGGGGGGAATGGAAGGGTGTGTGTGTCTGGGTGTGTGCGTGCACGCCCGCACGATACACGTTGGGTGTATGATGATGACTTGTTCAACGAAAACTGTTCCTTCAAGGGCAGTGGTGATCAGTTGCATTCCACACACGAGATTGCTGACACCCCAACACGCTGAATCCATATTCCTTTATTGTTTGCTTCTCCCGGTCCTATCTCTCGATGCTGTGTCGTTCCTTGTGAAGCTTGACTGTTAGTTTGAATGTCTTATAGTACTATCATGGGTGCATGATGAAACTCTGTTCTACAAGTGAGCTACCAGGCAGAGCATGCCTGGCCAGCAGTGAGACGCTTATTCCACACACGAGATTTCTGACACCCCAACACGCTGAGTTTATGTCTCCTGATTTTGGTTTCTCCCCGTTTCATCTCTGAGCTCTGTTCCGTCCCTTACATTATTAAACTGGATGTTCTGCTGGTGCATGATGATACTCGCTTCTTTCGAGCTGGCTGGCAGAGTGTGCCTAGCTAGTAGTGACAAACTTATTCCACACACGAGATTTCTGACACCCCCAGTACACAGCATGATATTTGCCTTCTCTCCTTTTAGGTTATACTTGCAGTTTTGCTCGCCTTCTTAAAGGTAAGATGAGCTCATAGCTCAAAACTCGGTCCATCATTCAAAGCTGTCTGTCTGACCATCCGCTGTTGTTTTACTCTTCGTGGCTGGTGTAATTGCATGGCAGGGACCCGGCAGCACTGGCGTTTGCGATCAAGCGGTCGTGTGAGAACAAGGCGGCGGTTGTGGCAGCAGATGAGAAAGAAGGCGGCCTCAGAGCCACGCTCAACCTCGGCCACACCTTCGGCCATGTACGTACTCTATACGCCTTGCATGGTTCAGCAACAGTCCCTGCATTTTGTGCCGGAGTGACAAATATTTTGCCCCTCCCCTTTTCATTTTCACCTCGCACTCAAGAATGGCTATGGTTTCACTTATAATTGCTTTGCACCTCACCTTGCTCCGCCTCTCCCCTTGTGCCCCACTCTCTTCTCCTTCCCTCCCTCACCCATCCCACACCCACCGCATTAACCCCACCGGCCCTGTAGGCCATAGAGAACGGGTTGGGGTATGGCGAGTGGCTGCATGGGGGGGCGGTGGCAGCAGGCACGGTGATGGCAGCACACTCGTTTCACTGCGTAACCCTCTCCACTCTCTCTTCCTCTCCTTTCCCCCCACTCTTCCAGGCCATAGAGAATGGGTTAGGATACGGGGAGTGGCTGCATGGGGAGGCGGTGGCAGTGGGGAACGGTGATGGCAGCACACATGTCACACCGTATGGGGTGGATCGATGCCATTCAGAGGGCCTCTCTCTTCCTCCCTTTTCTCTTTCTCCCCTCTTGCCCCCACTTTCCCAGGCCATAGAGAATGGGCTAGGGTATGGCGAATGGCTGCATGGGGAGGCGGTGGCAGCGGGAACGGTGATGGCAGCACACATGTCGCACCGCATGGGGTGGATCGACGCGGCTCTGAGGGATCGCATCACTGCCATCATCAAGAAGGCCCGCCTGCCCACGCGGCCCCCGTCTGCTGTCACCAAGGAGCAGTTTAGGAGCCTCATGGCGGTATGTATGGGGGGGGAAGGAAGAGGCCTGAAGCTTTGTGCTTGTTAGAAGGGTCATTCTTGCTGAGTGGATACACATTCTCCACGGACCCCCCCCCTGTCTGCTCTTACCAAGGAGCAATTTGGAAGCCTCATGGCAGTGCGTGTGTGTGGAGGGGAGGGGAGGGATTGAATTGGTAGCAGGATGTGTGTGGGAGAGTGCTCATCCCACCTTTCCTTGGCCTGCCTCCTATGTACCCACACTTACAATCTGTTTACAATTCTGCACACTGGTGCGGTGTTCTTTCTTCCACTCTGGCAGGTGGATAAAAAGGTAGCAGACGGCCAGCTGCGTCTTATTCTGCTCAAGGGCTCACTGGGAGACTGTGTTTTCACTGGGGACTTTGACAAAGCTGCACTTGAAGCTACCCTGGACGAGTTTTGTGAGGTTTGAAACGGTAAAAACTCTTGTAGAGAGTGGTTAGATAAGTTTTTTTTCCCCTTGAAAGGGTTGGGTTGTTGAATTCCCGCACACACAAAAATCTGGCACGGACATGCATAGATGGTATGCTAGCCGCTTATTCTAGTCCTTGCTGATATGATGTCTGGTGGGTATGTAGCACCAATTTTGATGTTATATCTCAAAACGCCGTTTCTCAAACAAGTGTCAATGAATCACCAGAATTTGCGCGTACAACGGGACATTGATCGACGAATCGGAGCATGAACCTGCGAACTGAGCATGAATCGGGACCGTATGATGGCGAAGTGAACCTCGGGAATTCCGTTCCGTCCTGTCGTGGCTGGCCCCTTTCTTCCAGCACGCGCTGCGCTTTTGGTAGCGCTGCTCCTGTCATTGCTGCTTCTCGTTGTAGTCGCATTTCTTGCTTCTGTTGCTTCTGCTGCTTCTGCTGCTCTTATTAGGACGGAGAATTTGGTCTCTAAAGAAAAGTAAAATGCACCTCTGCTAGAATGCTAGCGGAACAGGAGGACGCTATGTGCGGTGAAAGGCTCGAGGACTCTGTCAATTTCGAACGCAATAACTCCGAACTGTTATGAAACACGGACTGCTTCCATCAGCGTAGCTCGTATCGTCCACGGCTTTGCGCCATGGAGGCACCTACGGTGTCTGTTTGCACGTTCTCTCGTCACTTTCACGAAACTGGTCGCCCTGCGCTATTCCCTGATAACAATCGGCGCTTAACACAAGCCTCGCACACAAATCCCCGCTCTCCTATCATCGCTTTCGCAAGCCCTGCTGTACTAGCTTCCTGCTCATCTAAGACGTGCAATGAGCTTATCTTGAGACCGATCCGCTCAGAGCCGAATCCTCTCGGCCGCGTGCGACCGCAGATGTTTCCGAAGCCTCCGGCTGCTTATCCAGCGCGGCTGCGTGACGTCACCGTGACGGCACGATCAGACTCTTCACATCGGAATAGTTCCGAAAATCAGGTCCGGGAGCAGCGGAACGCACTGCGACCGCTCGCAGCACCAGTGAATGGAACAGAGCGTGAACGGAGCACACTGCACGCGACACCAGCTCGCGTCACGGTGACGTCAGGCTCCTCTGGAGATTCACCCCGGGACGGTTCAAGCTCGGAAAGTGATCAAAGCTTTCCACGATTGCCTCGAAATGCGCCGTGGTTACCACCGTGGTTACCGTTACCTGGCCCGTCGCTTTCAGCACCGGAAGCGGAGCTTGTTGTGGCGCTTGCTGGTGCCGTCGCAAAGTCGCAGGTGAGCCTATAGGCTGTGTCACATATTTGTGATCCACGCTGGTAATTCTGGGATTTCGAAATCTCACTCCTTACTAGAAATGCAGCATCAGCAGCAACAATTGATCTCCTGGTTCCAAACTTCTCTTAACCTTCTCATGTGCTGATCTATTCTTACCTCATGTCTCAGGCAAATATCCTTGCCAGCGTCAGCAGCAGCATTGGCGATGCAGTGACACGTGTGCAGAAGCTAATCCAACCATCGCCTCCGGGGCTGCCACCTGGACCTGCTGATGACTCAGCAGTCAGGCTGGCGTCAGATCCACTCACATTCCTGGATGACGTGGCCCAGGACTACCCAGGCGGCATTGCCACTGTCAGATTGGTGGGAGAGCCCGTACTCGTTATAAGCAACCCGTGCGTGTTTTAGAAAACGTTTGATTTTCCAATCTGACTTTCAAGTGTCTCTGGTCGTTGGTCATCCTGATCATCACCCATCCTCCCTGTCATCACGTCTCTGGTAAACCACAAGCAACCACCACTCGGGTCTCTTTACCTGCGGCTTCCAATCAATGCCTCTTCACATACATTCCCCAAGCCCTTTTTCGTACTTCTGTACACACTGCTCCCCCTCTCTCGTCCCCTCTCCCCCTTCCCCCACTTCCCCCTTTGTACTTTCTCCCCTCCTCCTCAATCCCTGTAACGGCAGTGAACTAGCACGGGAGGTGTTGGTTACACAGTCAGACGTCTTTATCAAGGCAAGTACGTGTTGGCATGTACATCCTTGTGAAAAGAAGTGTGCGTACATGTGAGATCGCATGCACATGTGCTTTCCCATCCCTAGCCAGTCATCTCCCTCGCTGCTCACTCTCTGTTCATCAGAAACTGCTGAGAGCTCTACATCAAGTGATGGCAGCTTTGATTAATAATGATACAGTGACGCTTTTTGGTTTGTATGCCCTCATTCTCCCTCTTCAAAGGCCGGCAGAACTTTCTTCCCCAGCAGCAGCTTGACAGGGGGACGGCCTGCTGGTCACTTTTTAAATTGCTTCCATGAGGGATTCGTTTTCCGCCCTCCCTGTGCTGCCCTCTGTTCCCTCATCTCTCTCCTGCTTTACAGGCCGGCACAGCATTCTTCCCCGGTAGCAGCTTGACAGGGAATGGGCTGCTGGTGAGCGATGGGGAGGTGTGGAAGAGGCAGCGCCGGCTGTCCAACGCTGCATTCAGAAAGGCCGCCATTCAGTCGTATGCCACGGTGGGTTTGGCTTCATGTTGTGTTGCATTTAAATTAACCTAAATATGGCACAGAGGTGGGAAGGAGAGGGGCTGCTGGTGGGCGACGGGGAAAGGTGGAAGAGGCAGCGCCGCCTGTACAACGCTGCATTCGGAAAGGCCGCTATTCAATCATATGCCATGGTGGGTTGGGTATTTAGATGGTAGTGGGTTGGGTATTTGCCAGGTGTCGCCTGTGCCGTTCTTTTCGAGGGCTCACGTGCTCACGTTTGCGACCGTCATCTCTGTTTGTTTCTCTTGTTTCTTTCCCAGGCCATGGCGGAGTTGGCTGATGACATGGTGGGGGGCACGTGGACGGGTAGCATCACCACAACGAGACCAAGGGGAGTGGAGGGACGCAGAGAAGGAGGAGGAAGAGGAGGAGGGGATTCGGTGGTGAGGGACGTGTATGCAGACTTCAACGAGCTGACAATGAGGATAGTGGTGGCGGCGCTGTTTGGGGGGGGCGGGTTGGGGGGAGCAGCGGTGGAGCAGGTGGGGCCGGCCATCTCCACGGCCTTTGAGTTCTTTGCCAAGCGTGCCACCAGCATGCTCATCAGTTAAGCACATACCCTCTCCCTCCCAGTATTTTCATCACTTGAGTGCTATTGCTTCCCGCAGCACTCATCATGCTCACCCCACTGGTAAGCAGGGGGTTGGGGGGAGCAGCGGTGGAGCAGGTGTGACCAGCCATCTCCACGGCCTTTGAGTTCTTTGCCAAGCGCGCCACCAGCATGCTCATCAGTTGAGTGCTTTTCTCTCCACTAGCATGCTTACCAGTTGAGTGAGTGCTGTTCACACACCCTCCTCCCTCTCCCATATCCACAGCCTTTGAGTTCTTTGCCGAGCGCGCCACCAGCATGCTCATCAGTTGAGTGATATTACTTCCCACAGCACTCATCACGTTCAACCCTCCAGTAAGCAGGGGGTTGGGGGGAGCAGCGGTGGAGCAGGCGGGGGGCCTGCCATCTCCACGGCCTTTTACAATCAATCTCCTCCTTTTTCTTCTTATGTGTATGTGCGGTGTCTGTGTGCATGCAGTCCCCGAGTGGTTCCCTACGCCTGACAACCTCCAGTACACGGCAGCAGTGCAGCGCCTGGATGGGGTGGTGGTGTACCAACTCTCACTCCCCTTTCATTTCTTCTTGCTCTCCTGTTTCGTGTTTCCATGTGTATGTCTGTATGCATGCAGTCCCCGAGTGGTTCCCCACCCCTGACAACCTCCAGTACACGGCAGCAGTGCAGCGCCTGGATGGGGTGGTGTATCGGCTGATAGAGGAGAGGAGGAAGGAGATGGCGGGGTGGGCTGGTGGGGGGAGGAATGCACAGGGAGGAAGCGAGGAAGGGAAGGACCTGCTCACTCGACTGCTGCTGGTGAGACCACCATTCACCCCTCCCCTGCAGCTGCTGCTGCTGCTGCTGCTGCTGCTGCTGCTGTTGAAATAAAGCCTCTATGAGAGAAAACATTTGTGCAGGTCGACCCACTTACGTACGTGCCTGCCTCCCCTCTAACCAGGCTCGGGATGAGGACGGTTCGGGAATGGACGACCAATCGTTCAGGGACTTAATTAAAATACTCACAAGTGGACAACCCTCATTTCTTGCTCATTTTTGCATCCGCTCGCACCAGGCTCGGGACGAGGACGGTTCGGGAATGGACGACCAGTCTCTCAGGGACGAGCTCATGACTCTGCTGGTTGCGGTACGATGTGATGTGGTGCACTGCGGTTTGCTCGTTTACATAGCGGTACGCGTTGTTCATTGCTCGCCTACAATCTGCCCTGCTCGTTTACTGCTTGTTCATTCTTCCAGCGTCGTCTGTATTACTAGGTGTCTTTGAGCCGACTCAGAAGTCACCTGGCTCATCCTTCCAGTGTCTTCTGTACCATTAGGCGTCTTTTGAGGCAACTCTAAAGCCACCTTGTTCATCCTTCCAGCCAACGCCTTTTGTACTACTGGGTGCTGGTGTTGTCAACGTCATTCTCTTCCCCATTCCATCCTCTTCGCTTCCCTCACCCCCAGGGCCAGGAGACCTCGGCCATCCTGCTGACGTGGGTGTGTGTACAGCTGGCACTGCATCCTGAGGAGCAGAGGCGGGCGGCAGAGGAGGTGCGGCAGGTGCTGGGAGGACGAAGCCCCAATCACTCTTCCTCTTCCGGTCTACTTCGCTTCCCTCACCCCCAGGGCCAGGAGACATCCGCCATCCTGCTGGCGTGGGTGTGCGTGCAGCTGGCACTGCATCCCGAGGAGCAGAGGCGGGCAGAGGAGGAGGTGCGGCAGGTGCTGGGAGGGCGGATCCCGACACATGCTGACGTTCCCAAGCTCAAGTGAGTGGCTGTTGAGGGGAGAGAGATAAGCGAGTGAAAATGGGGGATGGGAAAGTGGTGGAGGAGGTGCGGGAGTTGCTGGGAGGGCGCAACCCGACACATGCTGACGTTCCCAAGCTCAAGTGAGTGGCTGTGGCGGTAAGGGAGTGTGGTATGGATGGGTGGAAGAGTGAGCCATCCTGCTGGCGTGGGTGTGCGTGCGGCTGGCGCTGCATCCCGAGGAGCAGAGGCGGGCAGAGGAGGTGCGGGAGGTGCTGGGAGGGCGGATCCCCACTCACGCTGACGTCCCCAACCTCAAGTGAGTGGCGGGGCAGGGGAAGGGAGTCAGGGAAGGGAGAGTGGTTGTGGAAGAGAGTTAGGTGCTGGGAGGGAGAGTGGTATGGATTGGGTGGGAGGGTAAGCTATCTTGCTGGCATGGGTATGCGTGCAGCTGGCGATGCATCCATGTGTGATGCAGGGGGTACTTCTGCTGATGCATGCGGCTGATGCTGCCTTGTGAGGCGGCTCAAACGTCCCACCGCCCTATCCACCCTCCACCACCATCGCAGGTACCTGGAGGCAGTGATACAGGAGACACAGCGGTTGATGCCACCTGCATACATCGTGGGGCGGTGCGCGTGCCGAGACTTTGAGACTCCGTTTAATGTCCCTCTAATATCCTCTCCCCCCCACCACCATCGCAGGTACCTGGAATCTGTGATTCAGGAGACGCTACGTTTGATGCCGCCTGCATACATCGTGGGGCGCTGTGCGTGCCGAGAAACGCACCTGGGGCAGTGGCGTGTGCCCCAGGGCACCACTGTGCTCGTGAGCCCATACCTGCTGCACCGCGACCCTCAGCACTGGCCCAGGTGAGACATGGGGAGGTGTGGGGTTGTGTTACGTGCACACAAAGACACCACCACACAGTGGAAAGGAAGGGGAGTGGCGCATGCCCCAGGGCGCCAGAGTGCTCGTGAGCGCGTACCTGCTGCACCGCGACGCGACCCCCAGCACTGGCCCAGGTGAGAGGTGGAGAGGTGTGAGGCGGTGTGAAGTGGTGTGGGGTATGTGTGACCCAGGGAACCATAGCAACAGTGAGCGCGTACCTGCTGCACCGCGACGCGACCCCCAGCACTGGCCCAGGTGAGACGTGGGGAGGTGTGGGTGGGGTAGTGTTATGTGCAAGCAAAGACAGCACCACGCAGTGGAAAGGAAGGGCAGTGGCGAGTTCCCCAGGGCACCACTGTGCTTGTCAGCCCATACCTGCTGCACCGCGACCCACAGCACTGGCCCAGGTGAGATGAGGAGAGGTGTGAGGCGGTGTGGAGTGGTGTGGGGTATGTTTGCCTCAGGCCACCACGGTGCTTGTGAGCCCATACCTGCTGCACAACCACCCTCATCAGTGGCCCAGGTGAGATGAGGAGAGGTGAGAGGCATGGGGGGTCATGTGGTGTGGTGCAAGGTATGGAGGGCCACTGCATCGGCATGGGCTTCGCGCTGCTCAAAGCCTCCCTTGTCCTTGCACACATCCTCCAGTCCTTCTCCCTTCTCACTTCCCCTCCCTTGCCACATATCCCCTTGTCTTTCCCCCTGCTCCTCCCGTCTCTCCCCTCTCTTCGCTCCTCCCTCTCCCCAGAGCCCTCACCTTTGACCCATCTCGCTGGCTACCAGGAGGGGACGCCCTTCCTCCAGCCGACAACCCCGCCTACTGGCCGTTCGGAGGGGGACCCAGGAACTGCATCGGCATGGGCTTCGCACTGCTCGAAGCCTCCCTCGTCCTCGCCCGCATTCTCCAGTCCTCCCGTCTCACTTCCCTTCCATGCCCCTATTCCCATCCCTTCCCACTCCCTTCCCTTCGTCCCTCCTCCCCTCCCCCCAGAGCCCTCGCCTTTGACCCATCTCGCTGGCTACCTGGGGGAGACGCCCTTCCCCCAGCCGACAACCCTTCCTACTGGCCGTTCGGCGGAGGCCCCAGGAACTGCATCGGCATGGGCTTTGCGCTGCTCGAAGCCTCAATCGTGCTTGCTCGCATCCTGCAGTCCTTCTCGCTCTCTCTCCCCACGGGCTCTCCCCCTCCCGTGCCCCGCGCCATGATCACCCTGCGACCTGCTGGTGAGGTGAATCTGCTGCTCACACCGCTTGCTTCTCATGCATCAGAGGAAAAGGTGCCTGTATTTGGTTGTGCTGGGACCGGAGGGCAGGCAGCAGCAGAACCTGCTGGGACGGCAGCAGCACCAGCGTCACAGCAGCAGCAGCAGCAGCAGCAGCTGCTGCAGCAGCAGCAGCAGCAGCAGCAACACCAACACCAGCGCCGCCAGCAGCAGCAGAAGGCGTAGCGAATGGTAGAGCTCGCAGCAAGGCTTCAGGTGGGAAGGCAGAAGCGACTGCTGCGTCGAGCTGATTGACTGATGTTGACCTCCAGGCAGGAGCGACTGCTGCTAGCACACCTTCAGTCAGTGCCCTGGCCTCGCTTGTTTAGCTTTCAGTGCCCTGCTATCATGCGCAGAATCATGGTAGCCATCATTTATTGTCACACTGGCTTTACTTAGCAGTGCGCCCCACCTCTATAACTTGAGAGGGATGTTGGCATTTATGCGCCAGTGACCATAGAAAGCACTCCACACATGTTCCTATGCTGTGAGACATGCTAACAATTCAAAAGCTGTCATATCTCAGAAGAAATGGGAAAACATCCTGGTGTACATCAGTAAGTAGGCACATGTCGGTCCAGCTGCTGCTGTATCACGGGGGGCGCATAAACCTCTGCTGTAACAGAGGAGGCCCCAACTAGTCCAAGGTTAGTTATCTTTATGAGTGCAAGAGAGTGTTAAATGGTTTGTCGCATGGCATGAGTCAGCTGGTCCTGTTGCTGCTGCATCACAGAGTGCACAGTAACCCCCAGCACATGGAACCCCCTGCTGCCCTGCACCCTCATCACACACACATTGCTCCGTGATATGAGACTATGCAATGGACCTTCACATAGTTTGTCGCATGGCATGAGTGGTTTGGTCCTGCTGCTGCTGCATCACAGAGTGCACAGTAACCCCCAGCACATGGAAACCCCTGCTGCCCTGCACCCTCATCACACACGCATTGCTGCGAGACACCAGTAATAACCGCGACTCTTTCACAGGGACGGGTGACGCGCTGAGTGCGGTTACCACCACGCCAGTACACTTGCAATTCTCCACGCACTGTAGCTTGCCAAAAATTGAAGAACCGTTTGCGTGCGCAAGGTAGGATACTTCAACGACGGTGGGAATTGTTGTGAGCTGGATGGGCTGCGAGTTGCTTGTATCGGGGCTTACTGTAAGGGGGATGGATGTGTTGAGTATGAATTCCACCCATGAATCTGCCATGGGAAGGAAAGGGGAAGCAGAACCACTGGTGATTTCGACGTAATTCGCAGGTGCTTCTGCGAATGGAATTCGACTTACCGTACTGCAAGTCAGAGCGCGGGAATGGTTATGAAGCAGAGTACGAACAGTGCACAACACACATTGCAGCTCAAAACTAAAAGCTTGAAATGAACGGCCTAGATGGGAAACAAACAGGCAGGTCGAGCGCAGTGCTGGCTTCCTCTGCGAGTCACTTCACCACCACCCTGCAACACCCGTCACCGCTGTGCCCCACTAGCCACCGCTCTGCACCACTCACCATCATTCTGAGCCACCAGACCTGGTCGAACCCCCAGCGACGACCCAAGGCCATGCAGAGCGAACCCTTGAAGGCCAAGAACAGGCGGGGCGACGGCACCAGAGCGGAAGGAGAAGCAGGCGTGGGGGAGGGCAGGGCGGAGGAAGGCCGACGCGGCAGTGGAGTGCAGCCAGCGAGAGAAGAAGGGTGGTGGGGGGCGCAGCAAGAAGGGCAGGAGGGACTGGGTGTCGTTGTCAGCGTTGACCTCTGTCAACCGGTCGATAAGACCTGTGGTTGAGAAGGGTCATGATTGGGGAGGTGATTGGGCGAGGTAGGGGATTGTAAGGCAGAGGCGCCAGTGGAGTGCAGGCAGCAAGAGAAGAAGGGCGGAGGGGGGCGCAGCAGGAAGGGCAGCAGGGAGTGCATGTCGTTGTCAGCGTTGACCTCAACGCCAGGCTATAGGTTGTCCTCATGGATCTCTGTCAGCCGGTCGATGAGGCCTGTGGTTATGGAAGGGACAGGTGGGGACTGGGTGAGCAAACCAAAAAGCGCTAACCTTGGAGAAGTGGGGTATCGATCCCCATACCTCTCGCATGCTAAGCGAGCGCTCTACCATCTGAGCTACATCCCCATGCCTCAGCAGCGGAGAATGCCAACCAGAGCAAATGACGTGGAAGGGAGGCGCTGCCAAAGGGTGCATGTCAGTCACCCGGTCAATCAGACCTGTGAGTGTGGAGGGGACAGGAGGGGACTGGGTGAGGTGCGCAGTGGAATGCAGCCAACGGGAGAAGAAGGGCGCCGGGGGTGCAGCAGGAAGGGCAGGAGAGAACGTGTGTCGCTGCCTGCCAGTCAATCAGGCCTGTGGGTTCGTGTGAGAGGCGAGGTGAGATTGGGACGCGCTTTTAGCTGCTTGGTTCGGCGGCTATAAAAACTGCTACCTTTTCACCTGATGACTTGCCTGTGAGCGCGGAGTGGAAGAGGGCAGTGATGACGTCAGCGTACTTGGTCCTCACTTGCAGGGCCGTGGGCAAGGCTCCAGACAAGGCATGCGGGTCAACCGGGTCAATGGAGTCAACTGAGTCAACGGAGCTGCTACCAGCACCACCAGCAGTGCCGTAAGAATCATCGGCGGTGTCAGGAGGAATGGCAGCGGCAGGAATGGCGGAGGTGGGGGAGTCTGGCTCAACGTGCAGTGGAAGGTTGGAAAGGCCTGTCGTGGCTATGTCTTTCAACTTATAGCCTGGCGCCTGTGGTGGGTGCACATGCGGGGAAAGCAAAGTGTAAACAGGGTCAATTGCAGCGGCAGGAGAGGCGGAGGTGGGGGAGTCTGGCTCAACGTGCAGTGGGAGGTTGGAAAGGCCTGTCGTGACCTCATCTTTCAACCTATAGCCTGGCGCCTGTGGCAGGTGCACGCACACGCAGGGAAAGCGAAGGCAGGTGGGAAAGCGAGCGCTGTTATGTGGAAAATACTGGCAGGCTATGCTACTGCGCCAGCACTGTTATGTTGTCCTCTGATACCACCTCTGGCGCCCGGTGAGGATAGGCGGGGTGGTGGGTAGGCGGGGTGGTGGGTAGGCGGGGTGGTGGCGAGGCGGGGTGGTGGGGAGGCGCGGTGGTGGGAGGGACTAGTGATGGAGAAGAAAGAAACCACGTACCTGGTGGCCCAGCAGGGTGAAGAAGACATCTCTCGTGGAGAGCACAGACAGGCTGTAGTACTGAGCGAGCACTGTTATGTTGTCCTCTGATACGACCTCTGGCGCTTGGTGCGGTAGGCGGGTTGGTGGGGTAGTGAGAGAGGGATGAGACTGGTGCAAAGACCGCTCTTACCTGCTGGCCCAGGAGGGTGAAGAAGGCGTCTCTTGTGGACAGGACTGGAAGGCTGTAGTATTGAGCCAGCACGGTTATGTTGTCATCTGATACCACCTCTGGCGCCATGTGGGGGTAGGAGGGGTGGTGAGGCGGGAGGCCGAAGGAGAACGGACCGACGTCAGAGAAGGAGAGAGGAGGGTCCTGCAGAAGGAGGGGGTGAGGAAAGGGGGGAGACAGGGGAATAAGAAGGGGGAATTAGTGTGGAAGGAGTTGCCTGGTGGGGGTAGGCTGGATGGTGGGGAGGCAGGCCGAAGGAGAACGGACCCACATCAGAGAAGGAGAGAGAGGGGTCCTGCAGAGGAATAGGGAAGAGAGGAGGAGGGAAGGGAGGAGAGAGACAGGGAAATGAAGGAGAGGAAATAGGCGTGGAAGGAAAGAGGTGGGAGGTCGCGTAACGATGGCAAGGCAAAAGGAGAAGCTCTATACCCGCACCACCGCTGCCCCTTTGCCCCGGCCATCCCCACATTCGGCCTGCTCCCACTGCGCACCACATACCTCTGCCTCTCTGCACGCCTGGTTGCTGCGGCAGAAGGAGAAGAAATCCACCATCACCACCGCCGCCCCCGCTGCTGCCTTTACTCCGTCCAACCCTCCTTCGTTCCCTTTCTCCCCTTGCCGCATGTGAGGTGGGGTTTGCAGCGACCCGCCACCCCCCAGCACAGCAGCAGGTGCTGCAGCACGGTATCATACATCTGTAGGAAGGATGCCGGACCCTGCCCCTTGCTGCCCCCACCCATACCTAAGATACACGCACCTCTGCCTCTCTGCATGCCCTGTTGCCGCGGCAGAAGGAGAAGAAATTCACCAGCACCACCGCTGCTCCTGCTGCTGCCCTCACTCCTTCCAAATCCCCCTGCGTCCCCTCCTCTCGTTCCTTGCCCCCCTTACGCATCTTGAGTGGGGTTTGAGGCGACCCACCACCCCTCCAGCGCAGCAGCAGCTGCTGCAGCACGGTATCATACATCTGCAGGAAGGACTCTGGGCCTTGCCCCTTGCGTTCGCCCTGGTCGGATAACGCCAGCTCAGCAACCACCAGGTCCACGTCATCAGGCAGTGACTGCAGGATGGTGGCTCTGGGGAAGGAGATGGGGAAGATTAGTGGTTGGAGGCGGGAGGAGGAGGGGGGAAAGGCGGGAGGGGAGGGGAAAGGCGGATGGAGGAGGGGAAAAGACGGATGGAGGAGGGGAAAAGGCGGATGGAGGAGGGGAAAAGGCGGATGGAGGAGAGGAAAAGGGGGGATGGGTGAGGACGAAGGCCGGTTGCTTACTGCGCACACTTGCACATACACACAGGCACAGTCCCCACAACAAACGCTCAGAAACCCAATGCTGACTCACCCATCACAGGACGCCCACGTGGCCAGGCTGCAACGTGGCAGACCCAGGTTGATGAGCCAATAGGGCTCCGCCACTGTGGCGCTCTCTGATTGGCCGGGCACGCTCCACTGCTTGAGGTGGCGGGGAGGGAAGGCGCGGACTAGAGTGTCGAGAGCAATGGAAAGCCAGCCTACTGCTGGCGAGCGGCTGTGGGGGTGGGGGGCCGGAGGGTAAGTGGGGGGGAAAGGGGAGAGTGGAGAGAAATGGAGAGTGCTTGAGGTGGCGTGGAGGGAAGGCGCGGGTGAGAGTGTCCAGACCCGTGGAAAGCCAGCCTACTGCTGGCGAGCGGCTGTGGAGAGGAGAAGTAGGTAAGGGGGGTTAAGGGGTTGGGATATGGGGGGAAAGGGGAGGGGCAGTGGTGTGGGAAATGCTTGAGGGGGGAAGGAGCGGACGAGAGTGCGAGAACAGAGTCAAGCCAACCAGCTGCTGGGGAGAGGTTGTGGAAGGGAGGGAAAAAGGAGGTGGGTTGGAGGGGAAAGGGGGGGAAGGGAGCGGAGAGAATGGGGGAGCGGGAGGGAAAGGGGGGAAAGTGGGGGCAGGGGAGGGGGAAGTGTGCCCCTTTTGGGTCGATTTGAAAGTCACTGCGCCCTGTTGTGCGTCCAAATCATATTTACAAGATCCTTTCCTTCTCACCAACGCACCATCTCTCCAGCTCACCTCCTCTCGCCTCACCTCCTCATATCCTCGCCACCTCACCTTCTCAACCCACTCGTCCCGTACAGCCCCTGGTTGAACAGCACCGGCTGAAGCCCCCTGTGCCGCGCAGAGGGATGAGAATCGTTGCACCGTGATCCCCCCCCCCCTCCAAGCTTCCCCAGTTTCCCCTACTCCCCCAGCTCTTCCTACCTCTCCTTGCTCTCACCTCCGCTCCCCCATCGTCCCATACAGCCCCTGGTTGAACATCACCGGCTGAGGGCCCCTGTGCCCCGCCGAGAGGAACGCCACTGGCCCGCCCACCACTGCCACCGTCACTGGCAGCCGCTGCACCACCAGCTGTGAGGGAGAGGCGAGGGTGCGGGGGTGAAACCGGAGGGGTGGAGGAAGCAGATGGAGGGATAGGGGTTGCATGGGGAAGGTCACTGGGCCGCTCACCACGGCCACTGTCACTGGCAGCCGCTGCACCACCAGCTGGGGTGGGGGGCCCATGGAAGGAAGGGGACGGTGGACGGAAGGAGGAATGGGGGTTGTATGAGGAAAGTCACAGGCCCACCCACCACCGCCACCGTCACTGGCAGCCGCTGCACCACCAGAGCAGCAGGGGGGAGCGTAGGAGGGTTGGTGAGGCGGTCGAATGGGAGAGTATGGGGGGTGAATGAGGGGGGATGTGCGGGTAAGTGCTATGCTCGCACTTTCTATGCTCGCATTTTGTACGCTCACACCCATGCTTATACCTTGTACAAGAACATGTCCAGCCGCAGCATATCCCCTTTATAAGACACCGCGCGCCTCAAGGCCGCGGCCGGCAAATGCGGCTGCCACTGGAGCGCATCCGCAAGATCGCACGGCAGAGACTGGCTCGCTCTCGACCAATCAAACTCATCCATGTCAGCAGCGGCATTCTGACCACTGTTCGCTACGGAAAGAGGCTGCAAGCCGCCTTCTAGAGTGCCGCTGGGGTATAAACCCTTTCCCAATGGAGATCCCGAGGAATTCGCCAAAATCAAATTCGCTAACTTCTGATTCGTCAAATCTGATCCCTGTGCGCTCCACCTCCCTGAATTGCGGAAATCCGCCTGGAAGATATTTTTTGGTGCGTTCGCCGAGCCAGCCGTGTTCGCCGAGAATGAATCGAGGTTGCCAGTGCCGAAGCTACTTCGCGCGTTTGGCGGAGAGGTGGAAGGAGAGGAGGTGGAGGACGAGGAGGAGGAGAGGAGGCCGCTGAGGAACGCAAACCAAACGATAACGATCGCGAGCAGTGTCAGTAGGGCGACGACTAGCCGGCTAGAGCCCCGCGTCGGCCGCATGGCTGGCAAGGCAACTATCGGACGGTAGTTACGGGACAGTGTTTGCTGACAGGCTGAATTTCGAGCGGGAAAATATCAGCTTCGTGAAATGTGGTTGCGTTCAGGCCTCCCTCTATATGATCCGCGATTTACATTCCATAATTACTTTCTACTATCTTGTCCTCGAATCAACCCCATAAGCCGTATGAGGTTCAAATCTTTCGCTTGCGTGGTTATTGATGGGATGCCGTGGAAAGCTCGGTCCCTGGTTCCTCACTGGACTGCAATTCTCTGCTGTGGCTCTCGTGGTTCGCTACATTACTCGCCACATCAGCAAATCCACGCTGGCAAGATCAGGCTTCCAGGGTCCCCTTTGCTCCGCGTTGACTGACAATCAATTGTATGATTTTTCAGGCGTGCGCGGCTCGGGCCACGTTTCCCTTTCCCCGACCCACTTTACATCGCGACTCGCCGTGAACAAATACCAGTATGAACCATGCCGAACCCCATCAGAACTTACTAAACCGTCTCGAACCGTGTCAAACCTGACGCTTTCGCTACACTTCCCCTCGCAGCAGCACAGCAGCAAGGCAGCAACTATGCTTCATCATCTTCATCATCAGTCCTAAATCGATCGTCATCATCTTATTCGCCTCACTTTTTCACAAACCAATTCACCTCTCCGCCACCAATGGCCGCGTCCGCCGTTGCCGTGAGCTCCCTGAGCCTCTCCCGCACCGCATCCGTCGGCGTCGCCTCGACGCTCGGATCGGAGGTGCTCTCGTCATCATCGCTGAAACGCCACGTGGCCTCCAATCCCGGAGCCCGTAGAAGAAACGCGGCTTTCGCGATTCGGGCGAGTCAGATTGACGGCCAAGGCTCGCAATCTCCATCGCGAGAGTCCTGGCCAAGTGCGTCCACGTTTCGTTGACTCTGTTGACCGAGTTGGCCGAATCGACTGACTGCGGCTGTGCAACGCACCAGTCCTTTCAATACATTACTAAAAACGTTTCCTTGGTCGGTAATGTCTCGTCAGGGCAGTCTACCCTGTCAGGCACCCTCAGTCTTGGATTCGCTCGTCCTTCTATGATGGCATTGCTCCTTACGCCGCGTTTTCTTGTATCGCGTATGCCAGGACACGCCGCGCAATCCGGAGCGAAGCTGCTCGCGGCGGCGGCCATCGCGGGATCTCTCGCGCTCGGCGCCGTGGGGCTGCCGCCGGACGCGGCGCAGGCGGCGCTGAACCGCTTCGAGGCGGAGACGCGCGGCGAGTTCGGCATCGGCTCCGCCGCTCAATACGGCTCCGCGGACCTGAGGTAAGACGTTATTAATCTTCCTATGACAACGTTCGGAAAATATTTCTCTCTCACCTCTCGCACGCTTCCATGCGCGGCGTGGTGTGGCACTCGTGCTGTGCCCGGCGTATTGCTTCACCCATGGGAAGCGAACGCAGCTGGTTCCCCCTTCAATTTGAATAAGGTATGAAGTCGAATAATCAATATGAAACGCTGTAATATTTTCCCTCACCACCACCTTCCTCTTTCGCATCTCCAACCCCTCTTCTCTTCCCCATTCCCGCCCCGCGCGGCGGCGCAGGAAGACGGTGCACCGCAACGAGAACTTCCGCCGCGCCAACTTCACGTCCGCGGACATGCGCGAGGCGGACTTCAGCGGAAGCGTGTTCGCGGGGGGTTACCTCGAGAAGGCCGTCGCCTACCGCACTAACTTCGATGGTGGGTTCAATACGCGCACCGATGGGTATCAAGGGCGGTTCATTTTGCTATGCAATTTTCGCAGCCTCCTATGTCTTCTTTCGTTCTCGCTCCTTCCATCTTGTGTCTCGGTTTCCGCTCCCCCTCTGCTCTCCTCCCATTCGCCCCCTCTTCCCCTACCCCTTCCCGCCCTCTGGTTGGTCATGCAGGAGCGGATTTCACAGATGCGCTCATGGATCGAATGGTGAGTCGTGCCTCTGTATTGCTTGCGACGTGAAATGCCGTAGTGCCTGCTTGCCCCCGGAGTGCTTGCTTGCCCCCATACTGCTTGCGGTGTGCTGGGTAAATTTCCTGAGGGCCACAAGCAGTATGGGGGAATGCTCGTTGAAACGACCTGTGGCGAGGCAGATTTTTAAATACAGACCTCTGTGGCGCTGCAAAAACACTAGCGATGTTATAAGGAATGACAATGGCCCTCATGGACCACATTTCCTAGTCCTGCACCATTCTCCTGGTTTTGGCAGTAATGTAATGTATACCAATCCTTGACATTCTCCCTGTTTTGACTCTTCTGCCAGGTGCTGAATGAGGCGAATCTCAAGGACGCGGTGCTGCTGCGGGTGGTGCTCACGCGCTCCGACCTGGCAGGGGCCATCGTGGAACACACTGCCTAGTCCCGCTGTTAATCTTGTCGCTCTCTGGGTGTGCCGGATCTTTCAGGTGCTGAACGAGGCGAATCTGAAGGACGCGGTGTTGCTGCGGGTGGTGCTCACTCGCTCCGACCTGGGAGGGGCAATCGTGGATGGCGCTGACTTTAGTGATGCCATCCTTGACCTGCCGCAGAAGCAGGTATGCCTGGTGGTGCCACCATTGTGGGGTATCATGGGTATTGACGCACTGATGTCTGCTCCTTTCTGTGACATTCCCAACCTCACTGCCCAAATGTTACATTGCTACGTGCTCGCCCTCGTGTGCCATCAAACACCAACAACGATCAAAACCTCTCCCCATTCTAGATGTGTGCCAAGGGGAAAAATCTAGTGACATTCCTTGCTTGTGTGACGAAGAGTCTACTGACGGGGATGGATGGACCGATAGCGTTATGTGTGTGTGATTCCCCAACCCCCACCATAAATCCCCCCCTTCCCTATGCATCACCTTCAGCAGGAGTGTGTCAGTACGAAAAAAAGGGAGAACCCAGTGACAGGGATGGACATGAGGAGAGGAGAACCCTTTTTGTACCATTCCAGATTACCACCTACCGGTATGTACCGTAACACCTCCCACAATCACCCTAAAAAAACCTCCCACCGCTTCCCTATCCCCACCGTAAAACCTCAAACCCACAGGCACTGTGCAAGTACGCTAAGGGGGAGAACCCAGTGACAGGGATGGATACAAGGAGGAGCCTTGGTTGCAGTAACCGCAGGGGCAATGCATACGGCTCGCCATCATCCCCTTTATTGAGCGATGCACCGAAGAAGTTTCTATCCCGCGATGGATTTTGCGACGATAGCACAGGCCTGTGCAATGCTTCCATGTAGTAACTGACTGCATAAGATAAAACAGTTGGCAACTGGTGGAAGAAGTAGTGTACCAATTTTGCATTCAGACTTCGAAGAAGTTCCTGAAGCATCACTGACTGATTCAATATCAGTGAGTTCATTTCAAACTAAAAACGGTGACATATTGCAACTGAACATTATTGCATACCGTACAAACTTGACTGACATACTGCTACCGGTACCTAATGCACTGTAGTACGGTAGGTACATGCGCACTATAAATTGAGCCGTTGGAACTCCTGCTATTACTATGTTCAACAACCACCAGTTCACTACCATATCAATATGTACACACACTGATTCAGTAATCCAGATTGAAATGTAGTGTCTACAATCTACAAGTACAACGAGGAGTTTATACCCTACGACAGAGACACCAAAATCGGGTGGGAAGGATTTGGCAGAAAGTGAACAGCAACAACCGGAACCAGAACCGAAATAAAACTGTGGGTGGGTGGGTAGCATCCAAATATTGCTGCCCTTTTTCCCCTTGCCAGTCCCCATCCATCTCTGCTGCAACCTTCACGATTACTATTGTCCATCACTGACCAATCTACCAGCATCCCCCAACCTCAGCCTCTCCTTGACATCCTCTCCATCATCACATCTCCTTGGCAATTTCTCCCCGGGCATGTCAAATTTCTCTGCAAACTTTTCAACAGCTGCCCGAAGCTCCTGCACTTCTGCAGAATCAGCCAGCTGGTCCAACCCTCCTGCTCCTGGCCCCCCTGCCGGTGCCCCCATCCCACTCCTTGGCCTCTTCCCTCCAATCATCTGCGCCCCACTTTTCACCCCGCCCTTTCCCCCAGAACCCATTGCAGCAACAGCACCACCGGCACTTCCGCCAGAAGCAGCACCACCACCGCCAGCCGCAGCAGCAGCAGAGGCAGCACCAGCACCAGCACCGCCACCACTCGAACTTGGAACAGAGAGCATTCCAGTGGCAGGCGGAGCAGAGGCAGCTGCGGGGGAGGGCGAGAGCGAGAGCTGCAGGCGTTGCGAGTGCAGCGAGCGCTGGGCGATCTGCACGGCCCTCACGAGGAAATCTGCGATTTTATCCATGTCTGCTTCCTTGCAACCCCGCGTGGTCATGGCTGGCGTGCCTGGGAGATCCAGAATGAAGGAAGCATGAGGGGAGGAGAGGAGGGGAGGAAAGGAAAGGTTGAGCTGAGATTGAAACGCGTCAAAACAGCATTTGTGCAGAAGAGAGGAGAGAACGGGGGAGGGGGGGGGGGGCGGGAGGAGGGGGGGGGGGGAAGGAAAGCTGCTCGCAAATCTTCTCTGTGAGCAGCTTCTCGACTAAGGACGCGTCATGCTGCACGCCTCACAACCTTTCCCAAACCAATTTTGAACTCCAACAAGGAAAGGCTTGCAAGGCCAAAGTTGATACACACTGACACGTTACTAACGGACGCGCTACTCACCAATGCGGACGCCGCCAGGCAGGGCGGAGTTGTCTCCGAAGACGGCGTTCTTGTTGAGCGTGATGCTGCACGCCTCGCACACCTTCTCGAAGCGCCCGCCCGTGAGACCCAGCGGGCGCAGGTCCCAGAGCAGCAGATGGTTGTCCGTGCCGCCCGTCACTATTCGACACCCCCGCCGCGCCAGCGCCGCTGCTAGCGCCCTCGCGTTGCGCTTCACCTGGATGGCGCGGGGAGGACAGGTCGGATGGGGCGGAAAGGAAAAGGGCGGAGCGGAGGGGCGTTAGGGAGGAACAGGAGCAGGAAGGAGCGAACGGGGTCGCACAAAATCGGAAACCTCATGACATGCGAAACTAGAAACTCTTATGAATAGCATGGTTGCAACTGGCATCAGAACAGGCAGCGCACAAACAAGGGAAAGAGAAAGCGCATACCTGAATCATGTACGCGCGGAACGCGGGAGACCCCGCCTGCTTGAGCGAGACGGCGAGCGCGGCCGTGTGGTTGTTGTGCGGGCCGCCCTGCATCGACGGGAACACCGCGAAGTTGATCCGGTCCTCCAAATCGTACACCGGCACCCGCGCCGACGGCGGCGGCAGCAGAGGCGAAGCACTCGCTCCTCCTGCTGCCGCCTCTCCACCCCCTCCGCCTCCCCCTCCCCCTCCGCTTCCCCCTGCGCCGTTTTTACAACAGCTGCTGCCTCCACAACAACATCGCACAGTGTTCGCGCCTGCTGCCGATGCGCCGCCGCTATTTCCGGCGGCTTCCCCTCCGCCAGCGCCGGCCGCGCCCATGGTAGCGGACGCGGCGGCGGCGCTACGGGGAAAGACAATTGGGCCGCGGCGGTAGAAAACGAGCCCGCCTCTGGGCCCTCGGAGCGTCTTGTGCGTCGTGCTGGTTACCACATCGGCGAAGTCGAACGGGCTGTTACACTCCTGTGCCGCGACGAGCCCGCTGATGTGCGCCATGTCGCACATGAGAATCGCGCCGCACTTGTCCGCGATGTGGCGGCACCGCGCGAAATCCCACTCGCGCGGGTACGCGCTTCCGCCCACCACCAGCAGCCGCGGTCGGTACTCTTGCGCCTTCTCCTCCATGCGCTCGTAGTCGATTAATCCAGTAACGGGGTTCACCTTATAAGGAAGCGTTTCAAAATAAATCGACGCGCCGGAGACCTTCTTCCCGCCATTGGTGTAAAATCCGTGACTCAAATGCCCACCGGAAGGCAGATCCAGCCCCATAATCCGATCTCCCGGCGTAAGAAGTGCCGTGTAAACCGCAAAATTCGCCGACGTGCACGAGTACGGCTGTACGTTCACTCCCCACCGTTGCGGGTCGAGATGAAACGCGGCCAGCGCGCGTTCGCGGCACAAATTCTCCACCGCGTCAATCCACTGGTTCCCGCCATAGTACCGCGCTCCGGGCATCCCTTCCGAGTACTTATTCGTCATCGGGCTTCCTAGCGCCTCGAGAACCGCCTGCGAGGTGAAATTCTCCGACGCGATTAACTCCAGGCAGCAGCGCTGGCGCCGCTTCTCCCCCTGAATTAATCGCCAGATATCCGGATCCGCTTCTTCTAAGGACGAGTTACCCCAAACGCTAACCGGTTCGAAGGCCGCTAGGTCCTCTGCGTTAGATCGCGCGGATCCGACGGGAACGATCGCGCCATTACCGAGTGAGCTGCTGCTTGCCTCGCCGGATGGCTCCAGCTTCGCTCGCACGACGGGCTTGCGATCGGATTCGACGTCGCCGTCGCCATCGCCGTCGCCAGGCTCGCCTGCGAACTCGCGACTGGGACGCACGCAGGGAGCGCTGGATGATCTATGATGCTTGTTGGAACGTTGCGATTGGTCCGCCGACTGCTGCGACTGTTGCTGCGACTGCTGCTGCGACTGCTCGATGCTAGGCGACGGGCTCATGAACACAAAAGTGGGAGTCGGCTCCCGGCCGTTCGCAGAGATGCCGACACCAAACGAGGGCGAACGAGGCTCATCTTTGGCGAAAAAAGGCTGCGGTGAAGCGCGATGTGCGTGGTCCTGCTGCATGTTTTGATGTTGCTGTGACTGTTGCTGTTGCGATTGCTGTTGCTGCTGCATGTGCGGCTGTGCATGGTCTTGCTGTAACAGTGATTGATGCTGATGTTGGCTTTGTAAAAAAGGGTGAGTTGAGTTGTAATTGATGGCGGAGCGGTCAGGCGAGCCGCGTCCCATGTGCGGGTTTAACTTGCAGGCGAGCGCGGCTTGCTGCGGGAGAGCTTCGGACGGCGAGGATGAGACGGCGGAAAACGCGGAGGGGGTATGAAAGAAGTTGAACGAAGAGGATGAGTTTTGCGGTTCGTGCTTCGTGGAATGCTCGGGCTCAGGCTTTAAAATCGAGCCGGAAATTGAGGTGGTGTTATGAGTGGTCTGCAGCAGCTGGAGGGTAGGCGAGGGAGCCATGCGCATAATATGGTTCTAGATTCGCGAAGGTATTTTACAACCAAGCTCTCGTCGTTGATGTTCAAGCAGTCAGCACAAAAGAGAGCTCGGGAAAAAAAAAGCTGCAAAACTCCTTCACTCTCTAAGCTTGCACGCTAACACTGTTGTATGGTAGCCTACCAAAATTGTGATTTATGGTGGTCCTGAGAAGAAACTCCTAGGGTTTCCGGGAGACCTGGGAACCAAACGCAGGCAGCTTGCAAGACGGATGAGCCTTTCCTTGGATATGAACCAACCAAGGAGGACGTCAGTCACTGGCTGATAAAAAGCAGCTTACAGCCTGTAGGAGAGCGAGAGCAAGGATAACATCTTTTGTCGAGCATGCAGTTTCAATGGTGTTCCGAGAACCACATTCCCTCCTCCAGCCCACACACCCCATGCCACTCGTGTTACAGAGAACCACTCTAGCTACTGTACGAATGAATGTTTCTTGTTGAACCTCTTCGCTGTAGGGTAAACGAACCTCTTCAGCGTACGCTGAACCTGGGCGTACTTCTCGAGAACAACGAACGGGTCGACCGTTCGGTTGCTTGCTCCGCTGTTGCGCTGGCGAATCTTGGAGCAAGGGTGTTGCGCAATTGGCCTGCAAGCGGAGACGGAGGCACAGGATAGGCGGGAAAGGTTGCGCTGGGTGCGAGGGGGCCAAGAAAGAAAGGGGGAAGTGAGGAGGAGCGAAGGGGTTGCGCTGCGCACTGAAGCAGGTGCTTTCGCGCGAAAGCACATCACAGGGGGAGCGGCAGATGAGGCGAAGCCGTCGCGTCCAACGAGGGTGGGTCAGGTGGAACGTTACTGGCTGAGATTGCCACGGTGGCGGTAGGGAAATCCAGTTTCCGGGCCAGGGACGGGTCAGGGGAACTGCGCGGGGAAAGCGGACAAGTCACTGCAAACGGAGCTGGTCGCGGGAATCGCGCGGGGTAGGGAAACTGGTGGGGCACAAGATGGGGGGAATGCACACATGTGTCATGGCTCATCGATGAGTCCCCTGACGAGATGACTCTACAGATGCGGGAAACGCAAAGTTGCAGGCGGGTTGACCTCTGGGTGAAGGGAAGGATCGATGTTGTGGGCATGTCATGGCCGTGCATGGCATCTTTTTTAAATCCGCATCAGATCCGACCCGAACTGATGCTGATGATGGCATCCGCTGATCTGGTGGGCAGAATTGTGAGCTGAAGCTCAGGGTAGGGGCAATATGCGCACGTGACTCCTCCCATCGTCACCCTCTTGGCCAACCACGCAGAGCCTAGCATCTTAACGCGACAGCACCGCATTTTCACGCTCATTCATTTCCATTCGATGTACCTAGCCAGAATCAGGGGGACACTCTACACGCTATACTACTACTGCCTTAGCAACTCATGGCCACCATACGAGAAATGTTTTTTTTCAGGATATAATATAATGCTTCCAACTTCAGTCAACCCCTCTTGCATGGGCCTCAAACTAAACATATGTTCATGCTAAGTTCATTCAGTCACGATGCAGTCACGGTTCATTTCGCACGGTCTTTCTTAACTCGCTTTACACGCTGACGGCTGCCTGCCCGTGAGGCTAGGCGAGCGCAATGGGATGGGACCAACGGGTCAGGTGACTGACAGGTTGGCAGGGTCCCTGGTACAGTAAAGCATGAAAAGTTAGGTGATCTTGTATCCTTGCCAGTTTGTCAGTTGAAGGGTTTGGTTGGCGAGTGAGAAACGTGAGCATGCAGGCAAATAACCTCCAACGAGCACAACAATAGCCTAGATTGGGTGTTGCAGGCGTCGTGTGTTGTGAGGCAACAGAGCTCAGCCCAGCAGGGGAGGCGGCCTCCAGAGAGCAGCGAGTAGGGATGAAGAAGAGCTTCAACAGAAGTGGAGCTTCTTGTTGTTAAGAGTGCCTTGGTGCAAAGAGGAATTACGATAGCACACGCTTGGAGCTTCCTGTGTATGCTACACATCCTGCGTAATAGGTGTCAGATACAGAATATTGCATCCATCGAACGCAACTGTACACAAAGAGTGCATGGAACTTCATCTATCTCACGTCATCTAACGCTGCAAGTGCATCAGACCTGCGACGACCCATCATCACCGTTGGCGGGCACATCGAGTGATGACGAGTCAATGTTGTCATCCAAAACAGCTCTCCTAGACACCTCAGACCTGACCTCATCCCGCGGGAGATGACCTGTTGTGACAACATGTCAGCCCGGGGGAGTGGTGACCGACAGGTTCCATAATGTCAATATAACAGGAAAAAGAGACACACCCTTGCAGTTGACAACAGCCGGATGACAGGGTTTGGGGTTTATGAAAGGGAGTAGGTCTGTTCAGCGAGGATAGAGGAAATCCACTGAAACGTAAGAGGGACAGGAAGCGGTAAGGGCTATAGCGATCGGGAAACAGGCACTGAGTGGATGGGAGGAAGTGCAGGTGACAACACAACGTACAGAAGTCTTGGTGCAGAGGTGGGTAGTGCATGAAGTAGCACACAGCAGCAGAAATTAAAATGAGACATCTCAGAACCAACCGATATCACAAGGTGGGGTGACAATGTAACGTACAGTAGTCATGGCGCAGAGATGGGTAGTGCATGAAGTAGCAAATTGCAGCAAATGAGATGCCTGCATCTCAGAAAGAGCCAAGGAAGGAGGCAGGTAAGGAGGGGAAGAAAGAGGCTGCGTTGACAAGTGGGGAGGACACACAAGGCAGGAAATACCACAGGGTTGGAGGATAGACCCGCTGGGCACAATGAGACTATATACATGGCAGCGAGCGAGTAGATGCATGCACAAAGCAATGAGCTCACTTGGATTTTACAATTGAGAATTCTCAAAAGTATAGACCCGCTGGGCGCAATGAGACTATATACATGGCAGTGAGCAAGTAGATGCATGCACAAAGCAAGGTTTTGAAACAAAGACTACTAACACCCACAGTAGAGCTACGAGCACATAGCATACCAGCATAAAGGAACAAGCCCACACCCAACTCTCTGCAATTCCTGTATTTTTACTGGGTAACATACTGCACGAAAAAAAGCCAAGCATGCACGGGTAACCATGCATTCATGAGAGAGACGAACACACAAGCATATATTTATAATTATATATGTATATATATACACATATAAACAGTTTTCAACCACGCACCGATGAGGCTGCCCACAAAAACATCAAAGGGGAAGTGCCAGTAGTCATCGATTCGTGTGATTCCGACAGCCATTCCTCCCACCAGCGGCAGCGCAGGGGGCAGCAGGCGCCAGAGGTGAGTGGCGGAGGAGGAGAGGGAATGGAGCTTGGCTGCTAGAAAGAAAGAGAGATACGCCAGGCCTGAAAAGGACACTGCATGTGCAAGGGAGGGGGCGGAGAGGGGGGAGAGGGAGGGCGTGAGAGGAGGAGAAGAATGTTTGAGATGAAGACGGGTGAGGATGGGTTGCATGATGAGGTGACGAGACGTTCCAAAGCAGCAGGTAATCGCGTGAGCCCGACGGCCACTCCCGCCACCAGCTGCAGCGCAGGGGGCAGCGACTTTTGAGGCGTCTCAGAAGTAGAGCAGCTCGGGCTATGAGGGAGGGGACATACCCGATGCATGTCCGCTCGGGAAGCTCTTTCTTCCTTCGCTCACAACGGACGGGATGCCGTTACACAACGCGTTGCCACTGCTGCTGTACACCTGGACAGGAAGGGAGGAGGGCGAGGAGGGAGGCGAGGGGGGGAAAGTGCAGGACGAAGAGTATTGAGGAGGAGGAGAACCCTCTTGACTCACAGGGAGGGGGCGGCATAGGGGCGGGAATGGAGACGTGCAGGGAGGCGAGGAGTAAAGGGAGGAAACCGCTTGACTCACAGGGACCCCCGAGGGGAAGCATCTGATGAAGAAGTCGGGGCGGGGGCGGCCGACGGAGACCTTGAGAGCATCGGTGATGAGAATGGTGGAGAAGAAGGCGAAGAGCAGGCCTGGGGGGTGAGAGGGACGGCGGGGAGATCGCAAAGGAAGGACGAGAAAGGGCGGAAAAGGGGGGGTGAAGGGACTCTTGATAATCTTTCAGGTGACTGCAACATCGGTGACAGGAATGATGGAGACGAACGCAAAGAGCAGAGTGGAGGGCGAGAGGGGAGAGGGAGGGAGGGGGGCAGAGATGGCAAGGACTGGATGTGAGAGGGCGAGAGGTGAAGAGGGACGTTTAACAGTTTCCCCAACGGCGGCCTCGAGAGCACCGGTGACGACGATGGTGGACGAAAGCAAAGAGCAGTTTTGACAGTTCTTCTCACAAGGACGGTGGAGAAGAAGGCAGAGAGCGTGCTTGGCAGGTGAGAGGAGGGGAGGAGAGATCGTGAGTCCATAATCATACCCCATCCCCAACAAAGCAAACAATGGTAACAACACCAACAATGTGACCATACTGTCGTTCATGCACGCTCATACAGTTCCCAGAAGATGTAAATAAGCCAGTGGTGCCAGTGACGCGTTTCTCATAAGTCAGGAACATGGTAACGGCACACCCCGCCCCGCAACTGAGGTTGCAGAGAAACCGGCAGGACAATGGCAGGACAACAGGAGGGGACAACAGAAGGGGACAACGATCTCGGTGCTGCTGCGCATCTAGAAACGCTCAGAATCAATGGCTAGCCAATCAAATTTTAAGACGACAAGCTGAGTCAGTGCAATATACCTTGCAGGATGGAGTGGTGCACGTCCACTAGGTCCTTGCAGGTGACTTTTGAGCCGCCTCAAAAGACAGTCCCTTAGTGTTGTGCGGAGTGGCTTGCAAGTCAACTCAAAAGATGGCAAGCCTCTGCGCAACACACCTAGCACAGAGTGGTGGGTGTCCAGGAAGGGACTCTGACGTCAGCTCACAAGGCGACAAGCTCTGTAAGTCAGCGCAACGCACCTAGCACGGAGTGGTGGATGTCCACCAAATCCCTCCGGATGGAGTAGTGAACGAGGAACGCAATGGCAGGCGGACCCAGAGCGATCACCTGGTGGATACACGGTTACAGAATTTAAGGTTACAGGGTTACATGGTTGTACGGTTACAGGGTTACAGGGAGGCGAGTGTGAACATGACAGGCAGCGAAGTTAAGCGGCTTAGGTCGAGAGGAGTGGATACTTGGATACAGAAAGGTGTGAACGTGGCAACCCGTTAATTTGAGCGGATGTAGAGGAGTGACACACACCGCTGCTGCTGCTGCTGCTGCCGCTGCTATTCACGCTGAAGAATGTACGGGAATCGGGAACTGATGAATGTATGCAGTCTTACCGGGACAGCCCATGACGGGATGGTGTTGTCCAGTAACGGGTACATCAACACTTCCATATCCTCGGAATCTACGAATCTAGGAAACGGCTCGATGAAATTAAAGGCGATCGCTCCAGCGACTATGACCAGCAACACACCCCAGTCGACAGCATATTTAAGAAAGATGGCTTTAAGAGCGCCGCGCCGCCTTGTGGCCTGACCGTTGGTCGCCACGTCAGGCATATTGCGTCAGGCGTGCGTCAAAACACAATCTCTTGTGAAATAAAAAGGAAGCAGCGCGTCCTACCGCAGTCAGGCAGCTAATCTAATGCGGGACGGAGAGGCGACGTACGCGATGCTACCTAACGCAAAATGAGGCAACGGATGACCCTACGGCTCTCAAAAGCCAATCCACGCCGTTGCTGCACAAACTCCTCTTATGATGGCCATCTTTCATGGAGCTGTCATCGCAGATGGAACCTGGAACGGATGAAGAACGCCCGTGAATTCTGCTGTGGAAGCAGCCATGGATAGGGGGAAGTACAGATGGCCAAACTTGAATAAGATTGTATTCCTACGTAGGGACACCATCCGAAGTAGGGACACCTGGTTGCTTTTTTTTTTTTTTTTAAATTTTTATTTGCTTTCGAATGGAAGTCTACGTCAGATGTTACCCCGTAGTTTGAAAGGCTGGAAAACATCTCATGCCCAATCTTGCGTCAGAAGTAGCTAGTCTCGATGTGTCGGGTGACGAGCGGAGTATGCGAGTCAGATGAACTCACTCAGCCGCACTTACTCAACTGACTGACACTTGAGACGAGCGGTGTACTGACATTGCTAAGAAATTCGTGTGTTTATTTTATAATTGCAACTTTCAGAGCATCGTTTGTAGGTCACGTTGAACTAGGAGAAATAGCCATGCAACACGGAAATTGTCCCAACTTCGCATGGTGTCCCTGCGTTTGAATACAATCTAAGCAGCAACAAACAGTGAAACAGGGACTCCTTGCGAAATTCTGTTTCAAACAAGCGAAAGAAGTACTGTGACTGCGAAACTGTACTTTGGATAAAAGTCGTCGTCACATCTGTTGATTCGCTGGTTTCTGGTTTCTGTGGATTCGCGATTCGATAGAAGTTTCTTAGACATAACGAAGCGACATCGTAGAACCTTTCAGTTCCGCCAGCTCAGCTTACAGTACAAGCTTGTCGGTCGCCACTACTATGTGCATGGTACCGTACTTAAGCATGTATATAAAACACTAACGCACCATAAAATAAAAACACATGAATAACAAAGTTCTCAACACCTCACATATCCTTCCTCTATAGGGTGCCTCGTACGTCCAGCCTTATCAACAATGTACAGTATGTTGTATCCTCTACACTCCACTACGTTCATTGGGCTCTTCATTAGGTTCGGCCGGCTCTAGATCCGAGGCAAGAGCTTTCCTGGCCCCACAACAAGAAACCTGACAAGTTTCCGCATCTGGGCCGAGAGACAGCAGCGGAATATCACCTGATCATACAACCAAGGGTAGATGCCGGGGAGGAAGAGGGTAGCAAATGGTTATGGAAGACGAAAGCAAGTGATGGTTGGCAAAGGAACTTGGCGCAACGAAAGGAAAAGGGAGAATTATGAAGTTCTGGGAGAAGTAGGGGCAAGTTAAATATTTCAATATATCAAATAAGTAAACTGAAATGGTGCATAACGTACAGTTCTGGTTGGACAATGCAGGGTAGTGCAGGAAGTAGCAGATTGCTGCAACCACCATACCTGCACAGGAAAGGTGGAATGCGACACAAGTGGGCAAGAGGTAAGGAAGCAAGAAGGCAATGGGGTGAGAGCAGAGGAAAATGTTTGCGAAGACCCCCAACAGTGCAGGGTAGTGCAGTGAGTAGCAGATGCTTGCACAGTCAAGGGTCAGTAGCAGATGTTTGCAACGCAAGTGGGCAGGAGGTAGGAGGCAAGAAGGCAAGGCATGAAGGAGGTGATGAGGCAAGAAGGCAAGTCAGGGATCAGAAGAAAACAGTCGAGGAGTGCCAGCAGCGCAAGCACCTGCCTGGACGGCAAGCACTGTCCTACACAGGCCGTGGGGACTACACAGGCCGTGGGGACTACACCGGCCGTGGGGACTACACAGGCCGTGGGGACTACACCGGCCGTGGGGATGTGGTGGATCCCTAAAACCCTCCACTGAACTCCTGCCCAAATGCACCCGTGCTCTCATGTCCTCAAGCTCTCATGTCCTCAAGCTCTCATGCTCCCGTTGCTCTCATGCACACAGCAATATGGCGCATGGCATGCAACACAGCGTTATGGGCCATGCACGCATGCAGTTGGCCTACCTAACAGCCCTCTGATGAACACGTCGAATGGAAAGTGCCAGTAGTCGTCCACTCGAGTGATGGCCACAGAGGTAGCACCCGCCAGGCAGCATGCTGACGGTACCTGCAGCCACAGCCGCCCCTTTCCACTCAAACCCGAACAGACGTGTGTTTACAATCAGCCCTTACCTAGCAGCCCTCCAATGAACACGTCGAATGGGAAGTGCCAGTAGTCGTCCACTCGAGTGATGGCCACAGTGGTAGCGCCCCCCAGGCAGCATGCTGATGGTACCAGCCTCCACAGCCGCCCCTTTCCACTCAAACCCGAACAGACGTGTGTTTACAATCAGCCCTTACCTAGCAGCCCTCCAATGAACACGTCGAATGGGAAGTGCCAGTAGTCGTCCACTCGAGTGATGGCCACAGTGGTAGCGCCCCCCAGGCAGCATGCTGATGGTACCAGCCTCCACAGCCGCCCCTTTCCACTCAAACCCGAACAGACGTGTGTTTACAATCAGCCCTTACCTAGCAGCCCTCCAATGAACACGTCGAAGGGAAAGTGCCAGTAGTCGTCCACTCGAGTGATGGCCACAGAGGTAGCACCCGCCAGGCAGCAGGCTGACGGTGCCAGCAGCCACAGCCGTCCCCTCCCTCCTGCGCTGAAGGTCTGCAGCTTTGCTGCCAGGAAGAGAGCGGCATAGGTCAACCCTGCGAAGGACACTGGGGCAGGGAAGAAGAAGGGGGGAAGTGGGGAAAGGGGCAGGGCAAAAGGGAAAGGAGGGAGAGGGGAATGGGGCAAGATGGAAAGAGGGAGTGGGAAACGGGGCAGGGGACAGGGAAGGTGCATGGGAGATGAAATCAGGCACTATCCTCCACAGCCGTCCCCTCCCTCCTGCGCTGAAGGTCTGCAGCTTTGCTGCCAGGAAGAGAGCGGCATAGGTCAAACCTGCGAAGGACACTGGGGCAGGGGAAGGGGAAAGGGAAGGGGAAGAGAAAGGGATGAAGGGGAAGGGGAAGGGGAAGGGGAAGGGGAAAGGGAAGGGGAAGAGAAAGGGATGAAGGGGAAGGGGAAGGGGAAGGGGAAGGGGAAGGGGCAGGCGGGAGCAGGAGCAGGGGCAGAGGAAAAGGTAGGGGAAGAGGAAGATGCACGGTCGAGGCACATGAAATCAGAAACTACTTCCCACAGCTGCCTCCTCCCTCCCGATGTGAAGGTTTGGAGCTTGGCTGCCAGGAAGAAGGGCACTGGGATGGAAAAATGGGGAAGTGGAAGAGAGAGGGGAGAAGTGGGGTTTGATACTCCGTGGTATGGAGCAGAGCAGAGCAGAGCAGAGCAGAGCCATCCGATCTCCCTGGACTGAAGGTCCGGGTATGCTGAGACAGCAAACCTGTAAGCTGCCAACCATGTGAGCTTGAGAGTGTGAGAGTGCAAGCATTCCACCACTAAGGGAGAGAGGGAGCGGAGGGGTGCACGAGATGAGAAGGGATTGCTTATAGAGAGGGTTGTCGTGGGAAGGGAAGGGATTGCATGCTTGACGGGGTCATCATGGGAAGGGGAGGGGAGACTGGGAGAGTTGAGAAGGGGATTAGGGAAGAGGGGAGAAGGGGGGTTGGCCTTACTGGAGGTGTGGCCACTGGGGAAGCTGAGTCTGGACTCCATGACCTTGGAATAGGTGCCGTTGCACTGTGCATTGCCATCACTGCCGTACACCTGCCATGAACGCCCGAATTGGGTATTAGCTAGACTCACAGGAACGCCCGAATTGGGTATTAGCTAGACTCACCGGAACGCCCGAATTGGGTATTAGCTAGACTCACAGGAACGCCCGAATTGGGTATTAGCTAGACTCACAGGAACGCCCGAATTGGGTATTTGCTAAACTCACAGGAACGCCCGAATTGGGTATTTGCTAGACTCACAGGAACGCCCGAATTGGGTATTAGCTAGACTCACAGGAACGCCCGAAGGGAAGCAGACGATGAAGAAGTGTGGTCGGGGCCGGCCGATGGAGACCTTGATCGCGTTGGTGAGCAGGAAGGTGGTCGCAGACGAGAAGACGAAACCTGGGGATGGGAGGTGGGGAAGAAGCAGGGGAAGTGGGGCGAGGGATTGGGGGTAAGGCGGGGCCGGGCGATGGAGACCCTGATAGCGTTGGTGAGCAGGAAGGTGGTCGCAGACGAGAAGACGAAACCTGGCGGGGGAAGCACAGGAAGAAGCGGGGAAAGTGAGGTGAGGGACTGGGGGCAAGGGCCGCTGCCGGCCAATGGAGACCTTGAGCGCGTTGGTGAGCAGGAAGGTGGTCGCAGATGAGAAGATGAAACCTGACGAGTAGGGGGAGGACGGGGATGGGGGCGAGGGAATGGACAAGGGGATGGGGGCAAGAGAATGAGGGAGAACGGGAAAAGGGATTGGGAGAGAGCGGATGCACAATCGAAGACGAGGCCTGGGAGCAAGGAGGAAGAGGGGTTGTTGGAGAGCACGTGATAATCGAAGTGTTTTGAGCCGCCTTAAATCACTTTCACCATTAGGGGATGCACAAGTGAAGCCGAGATCGGACAAGCACGGAGGAAGAGGGGGTTGAAAGCAGAAGGAAGCGCCGAAGGCAAGGCCTGGGAAAATGGATTCGAGCTGAAGGCAACCGAAGGAATCAAATGACGAGTTGTGCAAGTACGTCAAAAACCTGAAGGGTTTAAGAGGAAGGAAACGAGCCACGACATGGGCTTTATAGACAGATCACGATTGATCAAGGAATTGCAACAGACGGAGGGAGCAATATCATCTCAACTGACCGAGGAGTGAGCTGTGGAAGTCCACGAAGTCGCGGCGCAGGATGAATGACACGACAATCGCCAGCAATGGAAACCCAAGCGCGTACACCTGACGTCGATGAAAAGGAATACGAAGAGTAGCATAAGGGTGTAGTCTACTAAAGACGCTCTCGCCATGCGGTCTTGCCGACTAGCCGAACACCATTATGGAACTTAAAGTTTCCTTCTTCATGGAAAATAACGGAATTGTTTTAGGCTTGTTTTTATGCCTACAGAAGTAGGAATTCCAGATGGTGGACGTCGAGAGTAGGAGGTATCTGAACTCACAGGAACAGCCCAAAAGGGTACCGAGTCGGTCTTTAACGGGTACATGTACTTTTGCATGTAATCGGCGTTAACGAATTGCTGGAAGGGGTGAACGGAGTCAATGGCGATGCCTCCTGCTAAGATGAGGATGAAGAGAATCCAGTCCAGGATGTGCGGACGGAAAACGTCCCACATTCTGACAGACTTCGGTGCAGGATTAACGGACGTCTGCGACGGTCGTTCACTCGTTGCGTCATCGTAGCCTGCCATAACGTTTACGGCGTGCTTGCAGTACTGGCTTACTTCTCTGACACGTGCCGGCAATAACAGGTACTTGTATGGGATAATCAAACCCTGCGGTTAATTATGAAAGAGAAAAAATAACGTTACAAAAGCACTACCACGAAAGCCCGCTAAAACTAGGGAAGACCAGGCTCTGAGATCCTCAAGGAACAATGACACGTGAGCGAATGAGTTAGGAACAGCTAGTGATCTAGCTAGTGATATGTGTGTGTATCATGAGGTTGTAATGCAATGCGTAGGAAGGGAGAGGTGAGAAAGTGTCACACGGCACGGCAGGAACGAAAGGGGGAGGACACAGCGACACTCCCTAGGCCTTTGGTTTGGTCGGCCCTTGGGTACTCCACGCTGCGCACCACACCGAACCAAACCGCTCGTTCACCCTGCTCGTGGCTCCCACGCTTGTTCCGCTTCCGCACATGCTTGCTTCTGGGGCCTGGCTTGGGGGGCACTTCACGTTCGGCGGAACAGGTGCGTCGAAAACATTTTCCGCAGAACTTCCAGTCAACTGCCCAGCGCGTGCGCTTATCAGGTCGAATCGCCTGAAGTTGCGGCTCGCGATTATTGGCGTTAGGCAGCTGACCACGTCAGTACAATAACATCCTGCATTAACCTAGATCGCTACATTTTGTTGAAATTTGTTAAAACAGATATGCTCTTTATGTGAATCCACCCAAATACATTTTCCACATCTTCACCTTTTCCCCATTTCCCCGTTCACCCTCCCCCGATTCCCCTCCCATCCCCCATCACCCCTCCACTCCCCTCCCCTCCCCTTCATCCGCTGCCCCCTCTCACGATTTTTGTTCCACTCCACACCACACTCATCAACCGCAAGGCAGAGAGTGCCAGGTCAGCCCTGAAATCTCCCAGCATCTATCACCCCAAGGGACCTGGACTATTGCAACAGCGATTTGCTGTACCGACTCGCTGTAACTCGGTCCATGGAGCTCGTAGTCGGGTCCGCGCCGCTAGCACGGCAGATAACTGGTCTCTGCAGTGCGGCCCCGATCGCAAGCGCGAAAACCGCGACGAACAGAACCGCGTCCGCTCCGCGATGGACAGCCTCGAACCGCGCTCCGAGCAGCCGTAGAAGCCCAACGTGCCGCGCGTCGATTTTGAATGGCGCCAGCAGAAATGACGTGTTAGGGTTGGATCCGTCGCTTCTCAGTCTAGGCGGCGCGGGATTCGACGTGACGGGTGCTAGCCAGTTCCCCGCGACGCGAATGAGCGCGGAGCAGACGATGCCGCGGCTCCAGGACATGGACCCCGCGTCGATCCTCCTGAGCCAACGGATAATCTTCCTCGGCACGCAGGCAAGTTTCATTTAAGAGTAGTGTAGAGTTGGTTCAAAAGTCGGCGCGGAGCAGACGATGCCGCGGCTCCCCGTTTTGAGTCGACTCAAAACACGGCTCCAGGACATGGACCCCGCTTCGATCCTCCTCAGCCAACGGATCATCTTCCTCGGCACGCAGGCAAGTTCATCTAGTTCGAGTTTAGAGTCAATACAATAGTCCCGCGTCGATCTTCCTGAGCCAACGGGTAATTTTCCTCGGCACGCAAACAAGTTCACCCAAGTTCGCGTTTAGAGTTGAGTAAGTAGCAGGCGAGTTGACCTAAGTTCGATTCACCCGAGCCAACTGATTGTCTTCTTCTTCAAGTTTAACCTCGTCCCCTCCGCTGAGGCATTCCCCCGGCTCCGCCGAGTGAACCTTCCAGCGCGGACCTGATGTGATCAGGTCCCCGGCTTTTCCCATGTTCCGCATCCCCCTCCTTCCCCACTCCCTCCTCCCATCCCCCTCCCACTCCCCTCCGCCCCTCTCCCCTCCGCCCCTCTCACCTCCTCCCCTCTCTCCGCATTACCCTGTATTCTAAGGTGGACGATTTTAGGTTCCCGCTTTTCCCGTATTTCCCGTCCCCGCTCATTCCGCGCCTCCTTTCCCCGTCCACCCCTCTCTCCCCTCCTTCTCCCCCCTTCCGCAGGTGAACGATTTCAGCGCGGATTTCGCAGTCCTAACCCCTGACGTCTGCCCTCTCCCCCTTCCCCGTTCCCGCCCCTCCTCCCCACCCCTCTCCCCCCTCACTGTCTCCCCGCAGGTGGACGATTTCAGTGCAGACCTCATCATCAGCCAGCTGCTGCTACTCGACTCGCAGGACCCCACGCGCCACATCAAGCTGCTCATCAACTCGCCGGTCGCTCCCCTCTCCGCCTCCCCTCCCCCCTTTCCGCTCACCTCAGGTTCGCAATTTCAGCGCGGATTTCCGACTCCTGACGTCGACCCTCTCCCCCCTTCCCCCTCCCCCGCCCCCATTCCCCCCTCCCCCTCGTCAGGTGGACGACTTCAGTGCAGACCTCATCATCAGCCAGCTACTTTTACTCGACTCGCAGGACCCCACGCGCGACACTTATTCCCCTGTGTCTGCCCCCTTCCCCTCCCTCCCCTCCCCGGCTTACTGCCTTGCGCAGGTGGACGATTTCAGTGCAGACCTCATCATCAGCCAGCTACTTTTACTCGACTCGCAGGACCCCACGCGCGACATCAAGCTGCTCATCAACTCGCCGGGCGGCTCCGTGACGGCGGGCATGGGCATCTACGACGCCATGAAGCTGTGCCGCGCGGACGTGTCGACGATTTGTTTCGGCCTCGCGGCCTCGATGGGCGCGTTTCTGCTGGCGACTGGTGCGAAAGGAAAACGTTTCTGCATGCCTAACTCGCGCGTCATGATTCACCAGCCGCTGGGAGGGGCGCAGGGATCGGTGAGTCGTGGGTGAGTGGCAGGGGGCTGGGGGGTGGGGTGCTTCAGGCTGGCGGCGCCCATGGGCGCGTTCCTGCTCGCCAAGGGAAGCGCCAAGGGAAGCGCCAAGGGAAGCGCCAAGCGATTCTGTATGCCCAACTCAAGGGTCATGATTCACCAGCTTCTTGGAGGCGCACAGGGGTCGGTAAGTGCGGGGAAGGGGGTGGGGTTTGGGGAAGAGGGGCAAAGGGTTCAGTGAGTGGGGGGGCAGAGGGTGCAGAGGGGGCAGAGGGGGCGGAGGGAGGAGGGAGGAGAGGGGGCAGAAGGGTTCTCTCACTCATACTGCCCTCCTCCCATCTCCTCCGCCCGCTCACACTCACTGGTTTCACTCTCCTCACACCTCTCACGCCCCTCTCACTCCCCTCACACCTCTCGCTCCCCACAAGGTGTCGAGATGATGTGCCACAAGGTGCAGATTTCCTCTAGGTCTTCTTCCCCCTTCCTGGTAACCCCTCTCCGCCTCTCCCCATCCCTCCCAACCCCCTGACTCTCCTTCTCTCAGGCCATAGACGTGGGGCTGCAGGTGCGGGAGATGATGTCCCACAAGGTGCAAGGTTCCATTAAATAGTTTTTCCTGTAACCGCTCGCCATCCCTCCCCACCCCTTCTCCCCCCTGCAGGCCATAGACGTGGGGTTGTAGGTGCGGGAGACTATGTACCACAAGGTGAAGCTCAACAAGATCAACTCCTCCCACCCCGCCCAACATCTTATACCAACCTGCCCTCCCTCCCCGCGCCCACCCCTCTCCCAATCCCCTCCCCCCCCCCCCCCCCTACCCCTTCCCCCCTGCAGGCCATAGACGTGGGCCTGCAGGAGCGGGAGATGATGTACCACAAGGTGAAGCTCAAGAAGATCCTCTCACCCCTCCCCACTTCATCTCTCTCCCCCTCCTTCCCCGCGCGCTCCCCTCCCCCAATCCCCTTTCCCCCTCCCCTTCCACAGGCCATAGACGTGGGGTTGCAGGTGCGGGAGATGATGTACCACAAGGTGAAGCTCAACTCCGACTGCTTTCACCCCTCCAACTCTCCCCTCTCTCTGCCCCTTCCTTCCTCCCATGTTTCCTCGCCCCTTCGCAGGCCATAGACGTGGGCCTGCAGGTGCGCGAGATGATGTACCACAAGGTGAAGCTCAACAAGATCCTCTCACGAGTCACTGGCAAGTCAGAGGAACAGGTGCGTTGCTCTTCCCCCCTTCTTCTTCTTGCCTGCTCCCCGCCCCCCTGCCTGCCCCCCTCCCCCCTGCCTACCTTCCCTCCTTCTGCTTGCCTCTCCCTGTCTTCCTCCCCCTATTTGCCTCCCCCTGCCTGCTCGCCCACCTCTCCCCATGCCTTCACCCTTCCTGCCTGCTCCCCCACCTCTCCCCATGGCTACACCGCCCATGCTTCTTTCCCTGCCTGCGCACACGCACTTGCGCCTTCAGTCAAACCGCATCAAGCCCAGCCCACTCTCTTACACTACCTCGACCTATCTCTCGCATGTTGCATCTACATACACCTTCCTAACCATATATTGAGATTGGCACGGATTGAGACAATTTCTCCATGGGAGGCGGTGGAGTATGGGCTGGTGGTGGACGGGGTGATGGGGGCCAATAACCCCAACCTGGCCACACACGCTGCCATCTTGTTGTTAATACTGATTTCCTGACCCCTTCCATCTGCCCCCAACCACAGATTGAGATTGGCACGGATCGAGACAAGCCCATGGGAGGCATCAAAATATGGGCTGGTGGACGGGGTGATGGGTACCAACAACCCCAACCTAGTCGCACGCATACTTCCAGATTTTCATGCCCTTACTTGCACTGCCTCTCTGTGTTGCCTCTCATTGTCTGTCCTGAATCGCACAGATTGAGATTGACACAGACAGGGACAACTTCATGAGCCCATGGGAAGCAGTGGAATATGGATTGGTGGATGGGGTGATGGGCGCCGATAACCCCAATCTGGTGGCACCGGTGGGCGAGGTGAGGGAGCCGCCCAAGACCAAGGTGTGGGACCTGTGGACCATCAAGGAGGCCAAAGAAAGGAAGAACCTGCCGGGGGAGGACCAGCTGCTCAAGAAGTAGTATACTATGGGAGTGACTAGAGATATGTATGCGCTGTGCACCCTGAAGTAGTAATATGCACATTTTAAAGAGCTTCAGGTGGAATTAAAGTTAGACCTGTATGAAACACCTTTTTAGAATTTTTTTCCTCACCAGGGGTTTACCGAAAAGCGCTTACTGATGTGATGTACAATCTATGGTCCACTCAGCTTAGATTTATTCCGGAAACTGCATAATGACAGGTCAGCCATGTAAGAGCTTTGTAGTGGTGAAACTCAGCATGGCTCTTAGAGGCAGCCAGGACATCTTGTGCTAATCAAACATGAAGTAAGAGGTAACATTGTATTTTCAATCAGCTGCTTGTATCGGGTACCACCGCTGAAGTGGTACATCTGGGTCGAGTCGGCTTCAGCTCGTAGCGCACTCGTAAGAGCGGTTCGTAAAAAAGTGCGGTGGACCTTGTCCTTTCCGGGTGTGAAAGCTTGCCCTTTAGGGCGTGTTCCGAGAGTAGAGCTTCAGTTGGAGGTCGTGCATTGTTTAGGACCTGCTGGTGGGTAGGTGCAAACTCCTACCACAAGTTCTGTCGTCGTGCGCTATTTCATTCCTTCGTAAAACTTGACATGCGTCACTTGGGAATGTGATTGCACATGATTCAGTTGCCGTGAACCACACACTCCCTACCTTCAGACTGACTGCCCGTTCAGGTCGAGTCCAAACCAAAACGTTCTGATGCCTCACGGGTCGAAACATCACTACAGTATCGAAACGGAGTGGCTTTGAAATGCGTACGCTCCACAATGACAGGTTGGTTTGGGGATGTTGGGCCGGGCGGGCCAATAACATTTTTTCGCACAGCCTTGGGTTGGGAACTCACCAGCATGCACCACCAAACCCTTGGTTGTGGATCAAATGACGCAAGGTGATTGGTTAACGAAGAAAGCCACCAGATTGCTTGCAGGTGTTGCATGGAAAGCAGAATGCAACCAGTCCCTGGGGAGGGGATCCCCTACTTGTCACATTGCTGCTGTTCTGTTTTTCGGTTCTGCTAGCTCAGGTAGGTTGTGCAGTGCAGTAATTACCAGCCTGGTCCTTCCCAGGGTTTGCTCTCTCTTGCTGGTTTTCAGTGCCTGCTCTGTTTCTGAACACCAAGCTCCCTGCCATGATGCTGGTTTGTTCGGGGATCCTATTTCTGGATCTAGGTTTCACTACTTCGCAGCCATTTTTATTTCCCAGATCTGCCAGATTAGGGAACGTTCCCTGGCAGATTTCCACTTGATCTTGTTAGTTATTATTTTTCTTTCCAAAGAGCGCTCTCCAGTGGATGCTTCAACAATTACGGCAACGACCGCAATAAAGGGGAGAGGAAATGGAAATCTCGCCACCGTCGCCGCGCACTCTATTGATGAAATTGGGCGGTAAGCGTCCAACAAAAAGACACTAACACTAACTTGGTTGAATCAGCAGTTACTTTCTGGACTACAGCCCATGAAGACATAAAAAAGTCGTATCAAAAGTCGTCTCACGTCACACTAACCAGCAGTTTCTTTCTGGATACAGCCCGTGAAAATCTGTCAACTAATCGGCGGTTCCTGCTACTGTCCGCCTCCCCAGTCTCTCCGGTTGGCAGTGTTATCGTTCTTGCTACACCTGCCGTTCCCCAGACAGTGGGTCTAGCAGACTAACATTGGTTGGAGCAGGAGACGGTATCTCGTCCGAGATAACTTATCTGCTTATTTCTGCTCGAAGCAGGATTTGTTAACAAGCTGTTAGTGTGATGAGCCGCATCTGCCATGTGGCCAACGCAGGGCGGTCAAACCGCCGCTGGCAGCAGCAGTGGATTTCAGGACGGCAGAGGGAGAGAGTATGATCATCACCGTCCCCATGATCATCATGCTACTACAACTACTAGCAGCACCAGGGAGTCAGGTCAAACACCCGGTCAGACACCCGGCCCGGTGCAAGGCCACATCACTTTCCGGAATAATTTTGGCAGTGGTTCGCTTGGTATCAATCAGACCTCGGCTTCTGTTGCTCCCATATCATACCCAAGCTTTAATTATTTTAACCCATATAATGTGAATGCAACAGGGGGTTCTACTACCTACCCTAGTGCTTCTAGTACAGCTAGTGCTTCAAGGGGTATTTTAGGACCCTTTAATTCCCCTACTATCTCCTTAGCCCCGCATCAGCTCGCCGCGTTTGCAGCTTATTACTCTTCCATATCGCCCTTCTTCTCCGCGCCTCCCTCTTTCCCCCATGATCCTCTACTGAACTTCTTTAATAGCCGATCCGATACAGTCATGACCCATTCAAGTTACCAGCAGCAGACTACAAGCACCCTCATGGCTCCTCCCTTCATCTCAGCCGTCCATCAGCAACGGCAAGATCAGGGCTGGTTACCACCGTCGCTGATGGCGTCGTTACAGTCGCCACAGTCGGTTGGCATGATGCCACGTGTCTCCTCTCCGCTCTCTGTTCCCAGTATCCGCGCCGGCAAGCGGCACGGCTGACGTGGCACAACCGTTTTCGGCACATCCTACCTGTAGTAGTAGGCAGGACGTTACCAGTAACTCAGCAGCGCCGGCATTGGCAGAAACAGCAGCGGCTGCAAGAGCCACTCCTTTTGCCGAAGGAGCAGGGGTAGCGGCAGGAGCAGGGGTAGCGGCAGGAGCAGGGGTAGTGGCAGGAGCAGGGGTAGCGGCAGGAGCAGGGGTAGCTAGAGGAGCAGGGGTAGCAGGGTGGGGAGGAGCAGCACATGCAGGGGGAGGAGGTGCAGCAACCCTAGGCAGCACTGCCATGACTAGCAGAGCCAGCGCCGGCATGTCTGCTGCCGGTGCAAGTCCTGCCACTGCCACTGCCGCTGACAGTGCTGCTGCCGCTGCTGCTGACAATGCTGCTGACAACTGCTGCTGCTGCCGCTGCCGCTGCTGCCGCTGCTCCTGCTGCGACATCCGCAGCAGCGGCGGCGGCATCAGCATCAGCATCAGAATCATCAGCAGCAGCAGCAGTAGCAGCATCATCAGCAGCTCCTTCTGCTGGAGGTGCTACTGCTGCGCCTCCTCCTGCTGCTGCGGGCACTGCAGGCAGCGCCGGTGGGCTGTCCGCAGCGGCAGCGTCAGCACCGCGGCTGAGCGCACCGGACGATGGGTACCACTGGCACAAGTACGGACAGAAATGCCTCATGGAGCGAGAGTATGCGAGGTGAGGGTGTAACTGGGTGGGGCAGCAACTGGTTAGGGCAGCAGGTTGGGGCAGCAACTGGGTGTGACTTGCATGTTAGCGCACCGTACGATGGGTATCACTGGCACAAGTACGGACAGAAATGCCTTATGGAGCGAGAGTATGCGAGGTGAGGCCACTTGTATGTGTGCAGCGAGTGTGTGTGTGTGTGTGTGTGTGTGTGTGTGTGTGTGTGTGTGTGTGTGTGTGTGTGTGTGTGTGTGTGTGTGTGTGTGCGTGCGTGCGTGCGCGCGCGCGCGCGTGTGCGTGTGCGTGTGCGTGCGTGCGTGCGCGCGCGCGCGCGTGTGCGTGTGCGTGTGCGTGTGCGTGTGCGTGTGTGTGTGTGTGCGTGCAGTGAGTGTGTGTGTGTGTGCGTGCAGTGAGTGTGTGTGTGTGTGTGTGTGTGCGTGCAGTGAGTGTGTGTGTGTGTGTGTGTGTGCGTGCAGTGTGTGTGTGTGTGTGTGTGTGTGTGTGTGTGTGTGTGTGCACGCACGCGCGTGCATGCATGCGTGCGCGTTCTTTTTCCACTTATCTCTCTCCACCCCTCCACACACACTTCTCCCCTGAATGCTGCACCCCTCTATCCACAAGGGCGTACTCTAGCTGTGCGCAGCGAAGAAGACCGAGTTTCAGACGTCTCAACACTCGCCATTCCCCTCGCGTTGTGAGTTGTGAGAGCAGCCTTTTTTAGCGCCAAGAGAACCCTCTCTTTCTCTCCCTCCCGCCCTCCTCCCCCCCCCACCTCCTCTCTCCACCAGGGAGTATTTCCGGTGTGCAAAGTACACCATCGGCTGCACGGCAAAAAATACCATCGACATTCCCCTCGTGCGAGCAGCTTTCTAAAGCTCCTACCGGACCCTCTCTTTCTCCTCCCCCCTCCCTCTCCCCATGCTCCTCTCACCGCCGTCCTCCTCTCCCTTCCAGGGCGTATTTCCGCTGTGCCAAGTACACCATCGGCTGCACTCTCCTATCCTACACCATCGTATTTCCCCTCCCTCTCCTATCCTACACCATCGTATTTCCCCTCCCTCTCCTATCCTACACCATCGTATTTCCCCTCTCTCTCCTATCCTACACCATCGTATTTCCCCTCCCTCTCCTATCCTACACCATCGTATTTCCGTTCCCTCTCCTATCCTACACCATCGTATTTCCCCTCCCTCTCCTATCCTACACCATCGTATTTCCCCTCCCTCTCCTATCCTACACCATCGTATTTCCCCTCCCTCTCCTATCCTACACCATCGTATTTCCCCTCCCTCTCCTATCCTACACCATCGTATTTCCCCTCCCTCTCCTATCCTAACGCCTCTCTCACCACTCCCATCCCTCTGCGCTCCTTCCTCCTCTCTCCACCAGGGCGTATTTCCGCTGTGCCAAGTACACCATCGGCTGCACGGCAAAAAAGACCATCGACATACCCCTCGTGCGGGCAGCGATTTCCGGGGGTCTGAGAATAGTCTACTCGGGGAGGCACTGCCACCCTCCCGCACGCAACATCCCCTTCCCTCCTGTTGCCGTGCCTGGCTCTGCCACAGTCACTGTCTCTCCTTCCGCTGTTGTATCTGCTGCCGCCGCTAGTGATCCGGCTTCTCACAGTGACGGTGGTGCTGCTGATGCTCCTGCTGGTGCTGCTGCTGCTGCTGCTGCTGGTGCTGGTGCTGGTGCTGGTGCTGGTGCTGGTGCTGGTGCTGTTGCTGTGCCTGGCTCTGCCACAATCGCTGTCGCTGCTTCTGCAGTCATATCTCCTGCTAGCGAATCTGCTGCTGCTAGTGACCCGGCTTCTCACAGCGATGGTGCTG